GATTTACATGAAAAGTAGCATGCTGTAGATGTGGTTCTCGACCTTGTGTGCATTTCATCTGTGGTAGGTAATAGAGGTTGTTTCATGCCAGTGCTCGGAGAGTGTCCGTGTTTTCTTTGGTAGTTTGGTATCCCATTGGGTAGTCATTCCTCTAGTAAGGGGCCCATGGGTTGTTTCTGGTCTTTTCCTGGTACATAAGCTGTACATATAAGCTGTAGTAAATAACCTGGCATGGGTGTTGTTTCATATACAGAGAATTTAAACTTTCTCTGTGATCATGTATGGATAATTCTTAAATCTGTTGTCTTCTTTGTTATTATCTTAAATATCTTTTAAAATGTTTAATTTTTTACTATTTTTTAATCCTCACCCAAGGATATGTTTATTGATTTTAGAGAGAGAAGAAGGGAAGGGGAGAGAGGGAAGAGAGGGAGGAAGAGAGACAGAGAGAGAAAGAGAAACACTGATGTGAGAGAGAAACATTGATCAGTTGCCTCTGTTTACACGCCCTTACCAGGGATTGAACCCACAACCTAGGAATGTGCCCTGACTGGGGATCGAACCCACAACCTCTTGGTGTATGGGATGATGCTCCAAACAACTGAGCCACCAGGCTAGGGCAGTTACCTTATAAGTAGAAACTTGAAACCAAGGATAAAATAATTTGGTTAAGATTAGAGTGATCAATCTTGCATTTATGTACTTTGGGTGCTTTTTCATTCTTTTGTGTGTTTGAGTTTTCCCAATGCCTCGGCTTTATTTCATTTTAGGTATGTTTTATAAGCACTGGCTTGGATTCACTCCCTTATCTGAGGTTAAGAATGGAAACATTTTGATGTCAGGGGTTGTCTGTGATATTGCTATTATTAGTTTTCCACTATATTCTTGGAGTTAAAAAATGAGGTAGAGGTTTTTTCCTAGATGCAGATTTAAAAGGAAGGGACCTATTAAATTAAATTTGAATTTATTCTTTAAAAAAATATTAAAAGTAGAGCATTTGTTGGAGCACAGAATTGAACACTACGTGATTGTCTGCCCGTGTTCTTTCCTACTGCTTCCCCAGTCATCGTGGCGCAGTGCTGACAGTTTGACACTTCGCCTTCAAAATGTTACATATGTTTCTGTATGTAGTGCTTTTACTTATGGTACTTTTAAAAAACAAAAATTTACTATATGTAGTGTATTAACTTTATATTTAGACATAGGGCTTAAAGCATTATACAAAAATGATAGGATTTAAAATGCAGTATGTTTGTTTCAGAAATGTCTTGCCCCCTTGAAACACCAGGGGCCTCATTCTAAGAGATTTTCAACATGTAGCAATATGCACCCTACGTACTCTGTTGAGTTACTTGTAGAATGTCAGGATGGCCAAAGTGTGCGTGTGTCCTACTTAATACTCGCATTTGTCTCAGACTGCCTTTCTGATTCCTGTTTCACAGTCATTGAAAAGCTAAGTTTTTAAGGGAAGAGAGAAATGAAGATTGCTTCTCCCCCGCCTTCACAGTTCTAGTAAAAATATTTAGACTTCAAAATTTTAACTTTCATTTGTTCTACAAGTTACACATGAACACATTCTCATTGAAAAGTAACAATATAATAACAGTCTAGTAATATTCTCACTTGGTTTTAAGTTAAATGTCTTACTTAAGGTCACAGGTAACTTAAGGTCACAGGTGTCTAATGGGAGAAGCTGGACGGACCCTAAGAGGATGTGCTGATGGACAGCCTTTTTACTTTAATGTGCTTTTTTTTTTTACATATTGGAAGTTTTTTTTTTATGATAGATGTTTAGAGGTCAAAGAGAGTTTGTTTTAAATAAGCAAATATTGTGAGATTGCCCACTTGACGCTATTTTTGAGTGTTAACTGACTAATGTTAGTACATCTAAGCATGTAAGTATGTCTGCATAGCAATAGAAGGTGTTGTTGTTTAGGGGTGAGAGATAAGTGCATTGTCTTGTTTTCTATCTTGGCAATTGTTCTTGCTGTGTGAAAGTTTAGAATGGGAGCAGTTAATCCCTTTTGAGATACACAGTATGCTGCCTCTTGGGATAACACAACTTCTGCCCTTTTAATTTTAGGAGGCGGCTGGTCTTTTGTTCCTGTGGACATGTAGGGACTGAATGGGATTAAGTCACTGGAGGAAAGTTGAATAAAGCTTTTAGAGTATTGCACTCTTAGCAGATGGTAATTGTTAATTATCCATTCTTATAATTGTTTGTGGGTTTTTTGTGTGTTTCCTATTTTTTTTTAAGATTTATTTTTAGATAGGAGAGAGAGGGAGAAAGGAGATGGAGAGAAATAATTGATGCGAGGGAGAAACATCCATTGGTTGTATCTCTCATGCACCCAGACGGGGGACTAAGCCCGCAACCCCGGCGTGTGCCCTGACTGGGAATCAAACCACTGACCTTTTGCTTTGTCCAACCAACTGAGCCGCACCAGTCAGGGCTGTTTGCCTCCTGTTTTCAGCCTTTCCTCGTTTCTGTGGTGTATGATTGCCATAAGGCAGTGTTTCTGTGGTGTATGATTGCCATAAGGCAGTTTGATGAACCTACGTACTGTTTTCTGTCTTTTTTCTTAATCATTATGTCACATGGTCTACTTGGCCTGCTTCCTACTCCTTTAAATATGGTGCCTTAGCCAGTCATTTTCCCCCCCTGAATTTCCTATGTAAAGTTGAACACCAGTTATTTGGAGTCATATACAAGTACCACTTGATAACCAAACGTATTTGGTTCTATAGTTTGGATACGTAACTTTCAAGAAGTAAGTGTGGATATCCAGAGATTTGTGTTCTCTAACACACTGAGTTTGGTTCTGAGTTTTGGGTAGCAAATAGTGAACGTTTGGATGGCAGGGAATTCATTTAAAATGTAATCCAATTGATTCAGTTCCTGAGTTGAAAGATGAGAGAACTTGAATACTGAGAGTCTGGCTAGCAAGGAACAATTGTACATGAATCTAGTTCGTATACACTGAGAAAAGCTATATACAAAAGTACAAAACTGTAGACCAAACATGGGAAGAGACTTTAAAAGACCAGTTTACCCCACCTCCTGTTTGACCCTTTCTGAAACAACCGGTTCTCTGGTCGTTGGGTGTTGAGAGGGGTAAGAACCGAACTAACTACATCGTGTGCCACTCTGGTCTGTTGCTCTCAGCGCTGGAGGAGATGCTGGGCAGTAAGAGAAACCACAGAGAAAACGGGATGGTTGAAAGCTTGCTTTGCAAAATTAAAAAAAGACTATAATTGGATGGTAGAAAAGTAACTTTGTTCTAGAAGAATGGTGTTCAGTGGAATGTTAACAGTGTTGTACTTGATGTTGGTATTATTTAATTCTCTCATCTTCAGTTGCCTCTGTTGTCTACAAAGCTACTAATTAAAGCATAAGGACCTTCTAAGAGAACAAATTAGATCACTTCTGTTCCTTCTTGAAAGCTGTGGTTTTCCTCTCCTGCTTTGGGAAGTTGGTAGTGCTTTGCTTCCATCCGAGCCAGAACATTGCCCTTTTCCTCTGTGCCCATCCTGTGGCCTGCTCTGCAGGTCACCTGCCCCTTCACAAAGTCCCAGCCCCTTTCTACACATGTCTGGTTCCTTTGCCTCTTCCTGGGCCATCATCCTTCCCCTGCATTCGTCTTTCGCTTTGATTCGTCGACAGAGGCATTATAGGGTGGGAACCCTCTGGTGGGAACGGCTTGCTGAGCGAGGTTCCTCTGTGTACTGCACACACAATGCAGACTCTGAGCTGATTGTTGTTGCCTGTGAAGTTCAGGTAGGCCTGCTTACTATCAGCCAGCTCTTTCTCAGAGCCTTTGTATACCTTTCAAAAGCCTGGATGTCCTCCTCCAGTGTCTCCCAGTCCTGGGCGTGGCTAAGGACCACAGCATCCTTTTCCACTGCTTCCTGCTCCTGGTGTACTACCAGGTAGTAATCTCTGTCACATGAGATGGAATAGACTTTCCAGAGCAGTTGGAAGTGGTGGTGGTGTCCTCCTTGTTACCCTTGCCCACTCTGTCTGGGTGCATCTGTTGGAACACCTTTGGAGGTTCAAAGCTTCATGCCGCCCTGCAAGGGTAAAGGTCGGCGAGGTTGCATATTTCCTTGCCTGGCTCCAGCAGACGCATGCTGGGCAAGGGTACAGAGTGTGTGTGACAACTAAAAATGAAGACTTTTTTTTGAGGAAAGGGAATTTGTTCATCTGTCTCTATCTGTGGCATAAAATCTTATGCATAATAATTACATAATAGCTAATGGTGATTATAATGCTCCTTTGAAAGTTAAATTAGAAGTTGAGAAGGGAAGTTTTTTTTTTCTTAGGAGTAATCTGTGCCATATTTTACAATAAATAGATTTAGCCCTTGTTGAGCTGAAGAAGGGAACAGAATTATGAAGGAAGACTTACAACTTAAAGCTAGACTCTCCTTACGGGTTAACTTTTAGCGTGCCTTTTCCTTTGTATAAATAAAAAGTTCTTACAACTTTGATTGAGTCTTGGTTAATTTGTCAGTGAAAAGTGGTACTGCATGTTAAGTCTATAGATTCATTTTTGACAATTGTACATTTAACCATAATCTGGCCTATTATAGCTCAGTTGTTTCCTTTTAATTAGAGGACCAAAGAGCAAAGAATAAAAAGTAAAGCATTGTATATTGATTATCTAAGGTCCTCCTCACCCCAGATGTTCTTTAGTTTCTGTTCTACAGGGTCTTTCTGTTGAAGTGAATATATGTACCAGTTACTTAGTAACTTCCACGGAACACCAGTTAAACCTCTTTGCCATCTCAGTTCTTACCGTGAGGTTTTGGAATGGTCTTCTGTGGATTAAAAAGCAGCATATAAGCATACTTTAAAATGAATGCAGTTAGCTATAATAAAAATGTAGTTCTTTAACAGGATGGCAGTTATGTATTTTTGGGCTATCTCAAATAATGTACCTAGTAGTGGGTCCTTACTATATATTAATTTATGAACCAATGGAAATAATTTCTTTATAGGGTCCTGATGAAGAAGCTGTTGTGGATCTTGGTAAAACCAGTTCAACTGTGAACACCAAGTTTGAAAAAGAAGAACTAGAAAGTAAGTTTGTTTATAATCACTCATGCTTAGCAGGGTAACTTACTAATGAATGTTAGTGTCCTTTTAGATTTACCTACTATTTGTTGAAGCATTTTTTGTTGTTGTGAGGTAGAGCATACACTGGGAGGGGTGTTCAATTATACTTTCTAAATATAATTTCAAGATTAATTCAGCAAACACTCATGTAACCACTACCTATATCTGCAAATAGAACATTCTCTGATTGTTAACTCTTTGTTGAAAGTATGCATAATGTAGATTGTATCACGCAAACTTCATAATGGTTACCACTAGTTAACTTGGAGAATTGAAATGCCACAGTTACAAAATTAGTTAACACTTCTATTGTTTTCATTTTTAGCAGGTTGGGTAATTTGTATTATAAACAAACTAGAGTGCCAGACTAACAAAAGCCACAGTTATCACTAGTTGTCATCTAAATACTTATTTTATAGGTCTGTTACTTAACGTTTTAAAAGGTTATAATAACCTCAACATAGAATTGTGGTGCAGATGAATTGTTTGCCAATCTTTCTTTCCTAGGCAGAAAAAGGTCGTTTCTTTTTTTTTTGTTCATTTTCTTTTCAAATAAATTTAGATTTACAGAAGAGTTGCAAAGATAGTATAGAGCGTGTCCTGTAGACCCTTTGGCCAGCTTTTTCCCTTAACATTTTATGTAACCAGCGTAAAGTTTATGGAAATGAAGAAGAGAGCCTTGGTAATGCTTCTCTGAACTAAACTGCAGGTTTTATTCAGATTCACTGTTTTTTCCAGTGATGTGCTCTTGTCCCAAGGTCCAGATGAACGGTTCAGGATCCAGCCATCTGTTCAGTTGTCATGGCTCCTTCGTCTCCTCTGGTTTCTCACAGTTCCTCCGTCACTCCTCGTTTTTTGTGACCTTGATTTTTTTTTAAAGGTTTTATTTATTTATTTTTAGAGAGGGAAGGGAGGGAGAAAGAGAGAGAGAGAAACATCAATGTGCGGTTGCTGGGGACTGTGGCCTGCAACCCAGGCATGTGCCCTGACTGGGAATCAAACCTGCAACACTTTGGTTCTCAGCCCACACTCAATCCACTGAGCTATGCCAGCCAGGGCTGTGACCTTGATTTTTTGAAGAGGAGTGGTTGAATACTTTGTAGAAGGGAAGTCTCGAAGTTTGAATTTGTCTAATGTTATCATATCAGTAGACCAAGATTCTGCATGTTTGGGGAACATACCACAGAAGTGACTGGCTACTATTCTCAGCATATCACATCTGTGGACATACGATATCATGACTTATTGTCGATGATATTAACCTTGAACACTTGGTCAAGGTGATGTTTGTGGCAAATGTTTTGGTAGACTTATTTTGGGGGCTTTTTGAGAACACATTGTTACATTAAACTCTCCTGTGAAAACTGGTATCGTATGGAGCCACTACTCTGGCTTGTAAAAAGGAAATGAGAAGAGACACGAATGTTCTCCACATTTACTTTCTGAGATAAAACAAAGAAACTGTCTTTTAAATTTGACTTTTAAAGTGTAGACTTATTAGAGTTTCTAGAAAGAAAGAACCTTAGTTCCCAAAAGTTTGTGGTTAGATTCTGTGAATGACAGGGATTATGGAAGTTTAAATTTTAGCAATAATTTCATTAATTCAATTGTATGGTGGTAATATTTAATCCATCACTTACCATTTAGTGTCATCTCTCAGATACATGTGACCTAGATCATGAAGAGAGACACTTGACTGTATTTCTTGGCTTCCTTCAGTTACCCTAAAGCCCCTTAACTTTGCATACTTTGTACGTATCTAAATTTCAGTAGCAAGTTTGAGGGAGAGATTAAGTTTATTTCAGAGTTTGACTAAATAGGCCTTTGATAGTAAAAAGGAAAGAGGAAAGAAAAGTTATGAGAGAACACTTAGGGGGCAATAATAAAAACGGGGGGAAAAAACTTCACATGGCCCGATCTCTCAGTCTTTGGATTCTAACATATTTTAATTTATTTTATCTGAATTGCACACTCATGAATAAATTACTTATTTAATTCTAAATTACTAACTCGTAAAATTCATTTTTGTCTTGGTACATTGGGGCTTTTGTGCCAAAGCCCATTAGTACTAATTGGGGTAACAGCGTGGTAATTTCTAGTACACAGTGATGAGAACTTGTCTCTTTAATTTCAACTTCTCTTTGGTGTTCATAAGAAAATGGTTTCACTAAAATGAAATTGTAAGCTCACTGAATTTTGTTACAGTTTTTTTTTTTACTTTTCTTGAGGTATAATTTATATAACATAATGTTCGCCAGTTTAAAGCATATATAATTAATTGTTTTTTAGTATGCATACTATCTTGTGCATAACCATGCTCTAATTCCAGAAATTTTCTATCATTTCATAAAGAAACCCTTTATAGTTGGTTTTTAGTTTTGGGATTTTCTGGTAAAATACTTTCAAATAATTGATACTGAATTTTGACAGTTCTTCCTCTAGTGCTTACCATGAACTAGGTAGAGTGGTGGGTACTGGGAGAGTTTAGATGATTTTAGTTTAATATGTTTTTATAGGTCTAGTGTCTTTTAGTTTAGAAGGTGATTATTTACTTTGTTGACATGGAAACTGTGGCAACTGAACAAGAAGTCAGGGTGGGTCACCTTTCTGCAGCCTTAGCTGGGAGCGTGTGTGTTGGGTAGCGTGAAGGCTTTGCTGCTTTGTGCGTGTCATAAATGACTGCAAAATCCCTGTGAGTTTGGGCTTCCCAATAAATTGTATCGAGTGGCCCATGTGCCAAGTACAGAATCCACGAATAATCAGGATTGACTGTACTTGTAAACCTTACCTAAAGATGAAGATCTCAAATTTTTTGAGGTAGTCATTTTCTGACCGTTGTATGGGATTTGTTAGGAAAAGAATGACATCAGCATTCGTTTTTCAGCAGATTACTTTTTTATGTTGCTTCTGTGCCAGATAGTTTCTGCCTAGTTGTAAATTAGTTAAATTTGTAGTCCATGACCCCTGTCACTCAACACAGCTTAGATAGGAACCTCAGAAATCACTTTCATGCTTTTTAGTAGTTGACACAGTGCTGCTAGCTGTCTTGCTTCCTGATTCAGTTTTATGAAGTGGGCAAGAGCAGAGATTGCCGTCTGTAACCATTGTGTTGGTCAGAGTACAAACTCAGAATAATGCAACATCAGCAGTAGCTTTTTCCATCCTAAAACTACATCATAACCTTACTGTGTTGCTTTGTTTTCCCAATCTGATAATTTCTGCCTGTTAATTAGACTATCTGGAACATTTACGTTTATTGTAGTCCTCAGTAATTTAGACTTTGATGATTTGAGATTTTCAGAACTTTAAGAAATCAGTAAAAATTTACAAATACCCCAATATAAAGTATTTAATTATCATCAAAGCATATCTCTTAAGAACCACGACTCACTGGGATTGGCCATAAATGTAGGTGGAATAAATCCATGTCCACATCGTATGATTTTAGGAGGGCCAAGCTCTATTTTTCAAAATATCATTCTAGACTTGCCCTCTAGTGCTTACACAAGTAACCATGTAGCTAGTGTGTGTATCAGTCAGTGGTGTTGGGCCTTGCTGTAGCATTTTGTGTAGGGCTCTATAAAATAAGGGAAGTAACAGGAGGCTAACTTTTCAAATTATGTGAATTTATCTGTAATTTTCTTTCATCAGAGTAAGTTGTAGCATCCTTTTGTGCATATCACTTTTTTCCCCTTTTGGAAAACCAGTCATACGTTTCTGAACTTTTTGCCAGGTCATCGAGCTGTATATATTGGTGTCCACGTCCCATTTAGTAAAGAGAGTCGTCGACGTCATCGGCATCGTGGGCACAAGCATCACCACCGGAGAAGAAAAGATAAAGAATCAGATAAAGAAGATGGACGGGAATCTCCTTCTTATGGTAAGAGAAAACTATATTTCTCCATTAACAGTTAAAATAGAAACAGAGACATGGAAATTAGGAGCAATCTGACAGTGACCAGAGAGGGAGGAGAAGGGTAATGAGGAAAAGAAGGTGAAGGGGCTAGTGGGGGAACACGGTAAAGGACCCATGGGCATGGACAATAGGGTGGAGACGGACTGAGGGGGTTGGGCGGGACAGGGGAGAGCAATAGGAGAAAATCGGGGCAACTGTAATCCAACAACAACAACCTAAAAAGTTTAAAAAATAAAAAAATAAAGTTCTTTACTAGAAAGCATTTTTTAAAAAATTAAATATTTTCTTTTAAAAAATGCATGTCCTCAATAACTTAGACACATGTACGTTGAAGAATATTAATTGAAGTAAGAATATATTTCTCACAAGAAAAAAATTTTTATTTTTTAAAAGATTTTATTTATTTATTTTTAGAGAGATGGGAGGGGAGGGAGGGAAAAAGAGAGGGAGAGAAACATTGATGTGTGAGAGATACATAGATTGGTTGCCTTGCCCATGCCCCCAACTGGGGACCTGGCCCACAACCCAGGCATGAGACCTGACTGGGAATCGAATTGGCAACCCTTTGGTTCACAGGCCAGTGCTCAATCCACTGAGCCACACCAGGCAGGGCAAGAAAAGTATTTAGTTTATAGGTTAAGATGTACTTGGGATAAGTGACAAAAGTAAGGAGCTGTGTTTTCATTGTATTCCAGCCTTAGAATTGTAAAAGTTGAGTCTTAGCACTTACAATTCAATTCAGTAAAGTTTTATTTACCTTTTTCTATTATATATTTTATATTTACATAGGCAATAAATAAATGTCTGGAATCCTGAGACTCCTGAAAGAGATTGAATATTTTATTTTATTTTTAAACACTTTGGCCAGAAGATCTTACTAAGCTGGATTTCTTGGTTATCTGTACGTGAGATAGTGTTCTGGTTTGATATTATGGTTTATGAAAGGACAGGGGTTTTGTTTGAAAGTAGAGAAATATGGAAGTACTAAAAGACAGAAGAACTCAGGAAAAAAAGGGCATACTATAGAGGAAAGAGAATGTTAACTGATGATAAATATTGATAGCGCTGATTTAGGTGGTGCTGGGCGGTGGGAAAGGCAAGAACCAGAAAAAAAAAAGCTGTGCAGCCTGAGGAGGAGTCTCAGACATTGCACTGAGTTGACATATAGGAGTCACTGGTTTTTCAGCACAATGTGGGCCCACATGGCCCTCTTTATAATGTGGGTTTTAGGAAACGTGTGTGCGTTCCAGCTCAACAAAACCCAAGGAGAAGAACTGTGAAAAGAATCACACAAAGGCACATGAAACCAAATTGCTGAAATCAAAATGTAACAACTTTAAGTGTATATGCTTGTATTAATAGCTTCAAAATACAAAAACTGATGACATTGAAAAAGAAAAAATACAAATGCTCGATTACAGTTGGAGATTTCAATTCTTATTTCTCATTAATGGATATAACAAATAAACAAGAAAAAAGCAATAATGGTACAAAAGACCTGAATAGCACCATTAGATTGACATTCACATTGATAGAATAGTCTCCAATAATAGCAGAATAGGCATTCTTTACAAGTGTGAATAGAACATTTACCGATAGAGATCATATTCTGGTCTATAAAACAAGTTTTAATACATTGAAAAGGATTGAAGGATATTCTCTGACCACAGTAGAATTAAACGAGAAAGATCTTAAAGAAAATCCCCAAATATTTAGAAGATAAACACGATGTTTTTCAATAACTTAAAAGGTAAAGAAGCAGTTGTTATGGAAATCAGGAAACACTTGGACTCAAGAAAACAAAAACAGTGCAGTCAGTAACTGAGATAAAGTCTTGGCAATTTGAGGACATGCTTCTGATGTGCACAGCCTTTGTTCGGCATGGTAATGTGCAAACTGCCTTCACATTGAAATTCGTTAAATGCAGCTGAAGCAGTGCTGAGAGAAAAAAATATAGCATTAATTCTTATGTTAGAAAAGAAGAAAGATCTTAGATCAAGGATTTCAGTTTTTAACTTAAGAAACCAAGGGGTTTGCTACCTGGGTAGCTGAGCTGGTTTGGGCAGCGTCCTGATAGAACACCAAGGTTGTAGGTTTGATCTCCTGTCAGGGCCCCTGAAAGAATCAAGCAATGAATGCATAAAATGGAATGACAAATTGATGTTTCTTTTTATGATTTGGAAAAAGGCAAGACTGTCCTGTCTAGTCACCTCTATACATGGTACTGGAGAACCTAGCTAGTGTAATAAGGCAAGAAAGAAATTAAAGTCATACAGATTTTGCAAAGGAAGGAGTGAAATTGTTTTTATTCACAGACACAGGGCTATGTATGTAACAAATATGAAGCAATCTGTGGAACTACAGAACTAAGTAAGTTTAGCAAGGTTGTAGGATGCAAAATCAATTATATTTATACGCAGTAGCAATGAACAATTAGAAATTAAAATAAAAAAATACTTTCAGTAGCACCAAAAATTTTACTTGGGGATAAATAAGGTTCAAAACTTTAAGAAGTTTAATCATAGTATGTTTTTGTCCTGCATACGTCTAAAGGTATTCCTTCAATATGCAGACTGATGTCATATACATATTGGAAAATTTTTAGATGTGTTTTTCTCCTGCCTTTCTCCCTATTTATATTGTCCTCTTTCTGAAATTTTTTCTGTTCAACTGCATCTCTTAACCTTTTGTTTTTTGTCTTCTTGTTTGTCATTGATACAGTCTGTCTGATTTCCTTAGAGCTGTCTTTTCCTGTGATAATTCCTTTTAATTTACTCTTTAACCTGTTCTAATATTACTCTGTATTGCATCTACAAGTGCATGAAAGTTTATTTACTTAAATGTCAATGTTGAGTTTGACCTAACTTCTCCTGTTCTGCAGAATTTGAGTTTGTTTTTAATTGATGCTTGTGGTTGTTTGCTAGTTTGTTTTGACTACCCTGGAGTGGAATTTATGGAAATGTCTCTGGGAATCCTCTACCACATAGTTTAAATTCAGATGCCACAAATGGGGTATTTGCTTCTTACAGAGTGTGTCCTGCCTCCCTAACCTCAGCTGATAAGAGCTTTGCGCCTCCATGATGGTAGGAAAAGTCAGTGTACTTCTAGCTTTGGGTTTTCCCATACTTTTTGGAACTTGGGATTTTCTTTTTTCACTCTTGAACTTAGCTACATATTAAATACGTATTATTTCTTGTTCTTTATAATCCAACATTTCCACGTATTTTTAGTGAAGAGAAAGTCCTGTCTTTGAGCATAGTGCTCCAAGTTTTTGGATGGTGATTGTTTTTATTTGTTTGTTTTTACATCAGTTAGTTACAAAATTACTTAGTCTTGCTTATTTTTAACATGGAATCTTCCTTTCTCACCTGTGGATGTGATCTTTCTGTGATTTTTTTTTTCCTGGATGGTTGCACCTGTTTCCTTCCGGAATTATAGTATTTTAAGAATAAAAGAGTTTTGATGATATATCTTTGACAAAAGGATTTCACTTTCAAAAACTGCGAATTTGTCTTTGAATGAATTGAGGAAAATCGTGAGTGCATTTAAATTCTTATTTTGCCAAGACACGCCGTCCCAGAGGGTTCAGTTCATCCTCGGCACTGAGGATGACGACGAGGAGCACATCCCCCATGACCTCTTCACGGAGATGGATGAACTGTGCTACAGAGACGGGGAGGAGTATGAGTGGAAGGAAACTGCCAGGTAATGAACGCCGTCTCCGTGTTTTGCGTGATTGTGGCCTTACCTGATTTCTTCTTGTAACGAGAATATAAAATTGAAATTATCATTATAGGTACATGTTGCTCCAAAACAATGAGCAGAGAATTTCCTCATGTCTGAAAATTATCTTTATTTTTTTCTCTTTATTTTCAAAATTTGTTTCCATAAATATTCCTTACTACTTTGACTTAATGCAAAAGGAGTTAGTTATAGATTTTTTTAAAGTCCTTAATTACAGAAGCAAATTTGAAAAATCAAAATCTTGTGTATTTTAAGTTTAAAAGAAGATTAGAAGTGGAAACTGCAAAGTACCACAGTTTTTGGAGACTTGTTATTGTGATAGTTTAGAACAGAAACAAGAACCACACAGATATGTAACTTGTGACTCATAGGTACTGTAGATCATAGCCTGCCTACTGTATTTTGCTGTGTATAATGTGTTTCCACGTATAATGTACAACCATGTTTTTGCCCAAACTTTCAGGAAAAAAAGCTTTCATTTATGGAATACAGTAAAAACAAAATTAGATACAGAATTTGTTCTACCCATCTATAATGTGCATTCTTATTTTCCCTTAAAAATTTGGGCATTAAATGTGCGCGTTATACACGGCAGAATACGGTAATTGTAAAAATTGTAGCCAATTTTTTTTGGGGTAGTGATCTTTGTTTCTCTTTAAAAGAACAACTTTACATTTATCATATTAAAATAAACCAATGAAAATGTCATTATTTATAAAATGTTTTTATACATTATACTTTCTAGATGGCTGAAATTTGAAGAGGATGTGGAAGATGGTGGTGACCGATGGAGTAAACCCTATGTGGCAACTCTCTCTTTGCACAGTCTTTTTGAACTAAGGAGTTGCATCCTCAATGGAACAGTCATGCTGGATATGCGAGCAAGCACTCTGGATGAAATAGCAGGTTATAGCAAATTGATGCTTTTATATTTAAGTTGTACTGAAATTAGATATACTTGAATAAGTTAAATGCAACTACATTTTGAGCTTCCATTCAGTGTGGGGGCAGTATGAAGAGTAGACATAGAAATGACACTTTTTGCCTCTGATAAGTTTGGAGTCTAGAAGATTAGACATAACTGCGGTATCAGGAAGAAAGTGGGTAGAATCATAGTCCAGATATGGAGTCTGTTTTCTGGAAATGTAGAGGAAAGAGCTTCCTGTTTCTCTGTTTTCTGGACGGAGGTGTCCGGGGAAGATCTACAGAATACATTAACTGTACAACTAACTTACGGAACTTTGAACACATGGGCACATGCGGCGGTTAGTGTAAGAGAAAAGTGGTCTAAGGAGGATGAAGAGAAGGAAGGAAAGTCTAGAAAGAACAGACAGGTGTACTTTCAGGAAAGTCCGTGTGAGTGTACATATTTCTTGAATAGTAATTGGAGACAGGTTTGGAAAATAAACTAGAGATAGGTTGTGACTAGTCTTGAATTGCGGGATTAGGAAATTGGATTTTATTTGGTAGGCAATTTGGCTCTTGAGTGATGCTTCAGTTGGAGAGTCGTGAAACCCAGCGTGTGTCAGGAAGATCATTCTGGCAGGAATATGCAGGGTGGCTTTGGACCAGGAAGTGGTTAGAAGCAAGTTAGGCCAGTTATTCTACCGGAATAGTTTCAACCAAGGAAATGAAATGTACTGTGGAGATGGACAGTAGAAAAACACCTGTGGTAAAGCTATTTCACTATTAATTATAACTGCTCAAAACTAACACTGAGTTCAGTGTAATGATTTGATAGGGGACTACCTTTACAGATTGCTCCCATGGAAAAACAAACAAAAAAATCTATAGTATTTGATCTTCAAGAGAACCAGATTGTTAGATTTGACCACATGTTGCAATCCTTTAAAATTATCACACGAAGTCCTTACTTTTTTGTGTTTATGAGGGAAAATTTGAATTAGGGGTATTGAAATTTGAACATATGGGTCTTCGGCTTTGTGATTATCACATAACACAATGCAGTAATATTTCAGCCCGTGTTTTGTATAGTCCTCCGTCGCTTGTACGGCAGCCTGCAGTCATTGTGTTAATGTTACAGTTAACCTGTTAGGTTGGTCCCCTCCAGGTTTCTTTTGGAGCAATCATACAAGTTTGAAGGCTTGGCACTTTTGTGTTTGGTGACACTACTTACAAATATTGATATATACTCCATAAGTTAAAAATAGTCCAGTCACCACCGTAATTTGTAAAATGTCATCGCCATCAATCTCCCCATCTCCTCCACCCCCATCTTCCTAGAACTGATTACTTCGTGATATTTTATCTATTTGCTCCTTGGATGTTCTGCCTCTGGAAGAGTGAGAGTAAAAACTTGATCTGCTTAGTTAACTGCTGCATTCCCAACACATAATGGCTACTCAGTAAATAGTTAAATGATTAAATGAATGAGTCCAGAAATTCAGCTTCGGGGAAAAGTATGAGGTGAAGCAATAAAATACCTTCACTTCTTAGGAAGCCAGTATTATTGAATATTCAGTTTAGTAGAATTGATTCTATCCATATCAGGAAAGCACTTTCAACTACAGGGAGGCTGTAAGTGTAGAACAGCAGTCTTTTTTTACATAATAGTACTTACTAATATGAGGGTCTCTGAGTAACTGGTTCATTTTTGTTGGATAATGTTCGTATTTACCTTTGTGCATACATTATTCAGTATTAGCAAAGAACAACACTTTCCAGAGCTGTGTAAGAATCTTCTTTTTCTAGTACGGTTTCATTTACAGTTTTATCTAAGTGTGTGTTGGTTTGTTTATCTATTTATTTTTTCTCTGACTAGATATGGTATTGGACAACATGATAGCCTCGGGCCAGTTGGATGAGTCCATTAGAGAGAATGTCAGAGAAGCTCTTCTGAAGAGACATCATCATCAGAATGAGAAGAGATTCGCCAGTCGGATTCCCCTTGTTCGATCTTTTGCAGACATAGGCAAGAAACATTCTGACCCTCACTTGCTTGAGAGGAATGGTGAGATAAGTTGTGGCATCCGATTTTCACTAACACTTCCGTTCTAACAGCACTCCAGTGTGTTCGAGTTAGCGTTTGAAAGGAAGACATTTTTTCCAGATAATTACATAGGTCATTTTATCACCATTTTATTTATTTTTTTTAAAAAGTGTTCTTTGTGTATTTCATACTATTTCTAAAATGCCTTTCTTTACAATATGACAGGATTATCTTTAGAAACTATTTAAATAAAACACTTCAAGCATTCACTCTGTCCATGCAGCACACTTAGGTATCAGTAATGTTTAAACACTACCACTCTATCTAACCCTGGATTATTTCTCCTTCCTGCTTTTTTATTTCTGCTCAAAAATTCTGGTGTAATTGATGAAAGAGGCATAAATTATCTATAAATTTAGTTTAACCTTTTAAAAATTCTAAATCTTGGGTAGAACCTTAATTACCTATGTTAGATTTTTCCTAATTTTTTTTTTTATCTCTTGAATATACTTTATTGGATGGGCATAACAAGTGTTTTTGGGTTGGTTTGCTGATTTTACTGATCTGTATTTACTTACACAGTTTGTGAAAAGTTTTCAGGGTTGCTCCTGTCTTATTCTAGGGGTGACAGAGGGCGCAGACCCAAATACATATCCCTGCTCTGCGCCCACACTCACAGTCTAGCAGTGGGTTCTGTATGGGAAGTGGGGAGGCAGTGGGTTTTTTTAGGCATTTAACTTTTGTCACTGTCTTAACACTCGAACCCTTGGAGGTGTTGCCTTGGCTCTTTTTAAAGCAGAGGATTACATCACTGGGGTTCTATTTTGGCTCTCCAAGAGAGCTGATGACAGCGGCTCTGGAAAACCCAGGTGCAAAGGGTTAGAGTTGCTTTGTGAGGGCACTGTTTCCTCTAGCTGCTACTATTAGCCAAGGCTTATGAGGATTACAGTGACCAGGAGTGGGGGATGGGCCACAGTGTCTTTCTGTCTCTGAAATGATAGAGCGGATTGTAAGTGGTCTTCAGGCAAACAGACATAGGTGATAGGGTTTAATACTGTATCTAAAATGGACAGTAATCATTGTTTGCAGCTCAGTGTAAAATACTTGCATCCATTTTCTTCTGAGCGTTTGACCACTAAAAGAAAGTATTTTTATTCTGTTTTAAATTGTGACTTTGTATAGTTACGGAAGCTTAAGAATAAAAGAAATCTCTTAGGATCCTAAGTTCAGTTTAAAAGCTAGCCATCTCTGTCACATTTTGCCTCTCATTTTCATCTTTTATGTGTTATATATTTTCTACTTTTGTAAAGTGAGTTTATTTACCCAGAGAGACCCTGTTAAATCTTTATTTCTCATATGCACTGTGTCCAGATTATTTTCCAGTTGTAATTTGGTTCCTTTTAATCGTAAGACAATGGCTGTTTTCTTTTAAATGCCATTTTAGCATGGGAACTTTGTTATTTTGTTGTATTGTGTTATAATTTAACAGCTTTCCTGCATGGAGCTTACTTCTCCACTAAGTGGCAGTTGTTTCTGGATTGAAGACTTATCTTTATTTTTAATATGTCTGGGGTCTCTCGAGCAGGTAGCTTTGATTACTTGGACTTAGATCATATGGGATTGATTGTTATAAATCTCATTTTCCTAACAACAATGTAATTTCATTAAGGTATATTTCATAGAATAGGTGTTTGAACAATGAGTATCCATTACCTTGTGAAATATGCTAAACTGACTTTTGTTATTGCAGTTGGTGAGAAATACTTCATGCTTATCTCGTTAGATTAATACTGTCCATGTTTGTTTAAATTTATCTGCTGTATTACAGATAAAAGCCGATTTGAGGATATTTATTAATATCTTCAGAGAGCTCAAGAATATGTACTCTTTAAAATTGACAATGTTTTTCTTTTAAAAAATTACTGTAACTTGTATAATGTTTTTAAATTTTACTTTGGGAGAACTATGAATAGGTGATGTACTGTTGACTTAATGTTTTAAAGATTAGATGTAAGTTACGAATTATTAATATTGTTAATGTGGACTTTTCTGGTGAGAGATAATTATCTGTAGTGGTTTGGTACAGTATAGGATAAATACACTAAAATAAGCTGTTAGTGCTGGTAAGTTTTGTTTTGGGTTCTAGTTCTTAGATTTTTGTATTATGTTCTTATTTGGTATTTATCATTTATTTAACCAGCATCTTTGCATTGATAGTGTTCTTTTTTTTAAAAGCCACACTATTGGGCATTGTTATTACTAACAATATTGTCCCCTATAATCTACAGTAGCATTGCTTTATTATTATTATTATTATTATTATTATTATTTATTATTACTACATCTTCAGGGTACTAATTGTAGCGTAAGCAATTTTTCGGTGACTTTCTAACACTTAAAGACCTGGTTGCCATGCTAACCCTGATAGCATGAATTTGAAATGTTGGGTCTTTAAAGCTTGCAATTTACAGTGTAAATTGATTTTTGTGTGTGTGTTTCTATTTGCCTTCGTCAGTGAACTTCATTGTTTTTCATTTATTTGTTTTATCTCAGGGGAAGGCCTTTCAGCCTCCCGCCATTCTTTGCGAACAGGTCTGTCTGCCTCAAACCTTTCATTGAGAGGAGAATCGCCTTTATCTCTTCTTCTCAGTCATCTTCTTCCTTCTTCGAGAGCTGGAACCCCTGCAGGCTCAAGGTGTACCACCCCAGTGCCCACCCCTCAAAACAGTCCTCCTTCTAGCCCTAGCATCAGTCGCGTGACCTCCAGAAGTTCCCAGCAGAGTCAGCTGCAGGTCCCAGAGCTACTGGTGTCTCCTGCCAGTGATGATATCCCCACAGTAGTCATTCATCCGCCAGAGGAAGACTTAGAAGCGCTGAAAGGCCAGGAGCAGAAGAATGAGGAAAATGTTGACATAACTCCAGGCAACTATTCAAACTCCTCCATGTGTGGTGCTTTCTGCCTCTGGATCACATGCACTTGGAATGCCCTTTGTAGCACCTGGCTTTAGTGGCATTTGTAGATGATGCTTATGATTTATTTTGACTTCTGCATGGTTTTTTCCCTTTATATACTATATTACAGAAAATAATAGCATTATTAGAAATTTGACGTGAAGACTACAGAGAAGACTACACCATAATAACTTCAGCCCTTAGAGAAATTTTTGCTGAGGTTTGTCAGGTCAAGGCATTTGAATGGTTCAGGAAAACATAGGTGTTTTTATATGTAATCTTTTCATTTGCCATGATTTTTAGGAAATGGTGGCTTTTCTTGTGCATTCATAAGGTGAATGAACACACTGTACATAAATTATAGTGAGGGGAGGTGCCTTTTATCTTCTGTGTGGTGCTTTCACCCAGCGAAGGCAGTATGGTATGACCTTCCTAACAATAATAGGGGGGATGTTCTTGTCATTTGTCCCTTAAAAGACTGATGTTCCCCAGTGACTGCCTGGGATCATTCTTTCAAGAGTAGTGTTATATTTTCGAATACATTTTAGTTGTCCCTTATTTAATTCATGTTATATCTATCTTTAATCCAAATTTATCTTGAACTTTTTAAGACCAGAGTTCCTATAGTGTGTCTAGAGTATATTTTTGTGTGCGAATTAAAAAAATATTTCTTAGTGGATAAAAGTTATGGAACTTATTTAAGGGTTACATATTATGAAAAATTTTGCCTCTTTTATATTAGTGATTTGTCCATTTTTACATATATTTATGCCCAATTCATATAAAGTATTCTTTAGTGACTATTTTACTGATAGTCAAGCATCAGTGTGATGTATTTGAATCCTAACTAGTGTTTTTAATGACATAAAATTCTCTATAATATTAATAATATCTAATATTTCAGTGGTAGTTTATAATCATTAAATTAGCCTATTGGTATAGAAATTTGTGCAGATAGGTGGATGTAAGTATCTTTAGAAACTCAGAAAAAGTAATTTTCCCTGGATTGTGCAAGCTGGTGACAGCCAGAGTCCTCTGCCTGAAAATCTCTGTGCTCCTCCCACTGTGTGACCAGCCTCTCACTCTCTATTGGCTGTATCCATGCATGCTGAGTACATTTAATTAAAGCTCATTGTTGTTGCCAAAAAATGATATACTTTTTTTAAAATCCTCACCCGACGGTATGTGTATTGATTTGAGAGAGAGAGAAAGAGTGAAAGAGACAGAGACATTGAGACATTGATGTGAGAGAGAAGCATTGATCTGTTGCCTCCCCTATGCGTGCCGACCAGGGATTGAACCTGCAACCTTTTGGTGTACAGGATGATGCTCCAACCAACTGAGCCACCTGGCTGGTGCAGTGATACACTTTTAGAAGTTAAAAACTGGAAGCTTTGTGGCTAAATCATTGTAACATTAATTATGATCGCAGTTATAGCCACCCTTGTATTATAGTTTGTTCTATACACAGGTATATGTGCTTTTCATATATTGTATTTCTAAGTCTCCTCACAGTTTGATGAGGTTTGTGGTATTATCCCTATTTTACAAATGAAGAAAACAAAGACTTAGAGAGGTTAAAATTGTACCGTAAATGACCAGAGCAAGGAATTGGACCGAGATCTACCCATAACAAAGCCTAATAGTATAGTTACTTATTGTAAATTTTACTACTTTTTAAAAAAGATATAGTGTAATAATGAGGTAACTGAACTAAAATCAGAAACAAAACCTAGAAATTATTATTCAGAAATAATCATCCCTCTTAATTATAAAGAACCAGCAAGATTTACTGTTTTTCTTGAGCAAAAGTAGTTATAAAGTTATATCTTTGCATTTGTTTTTACTGATATCTGTCAGTAACACTGAGTATTTCTTGTTTCACCAGCTTTTAGGTTATTCATAATAAGGCACTACAAATTTTCTATAGGAAGGGACATAGGAGTCTCAATGACTTGTTAGGCCCTGTCATTAGGGATAAGAGGAGCAATTAGCTGAGACTCGAGGAAGACAGTTTCTTTTCCTCCCCTGCCCTAAGTATGCCATGAGATTTATAAGCCTTTCTAAAGAAAAGGAATTAGAATGGGAAAGAGAGGGGGAGTTTCTAAAGAAAAAGCTCACAGTTACTGTTCAGGAAGATTGCTGTACAAGGATGTAATTAAAATGATAGGAACGACTATATGCTATTCCCTGTTTAATTACCTTGGTGCTTAATGCACCTAGAAACTCTTGTTTCCTTGAAGTCTGATGTTGTGTTAAATGAGGAAGAAGGTGTCCTCAGCATAATTTGGAAAGTCTAATGTTGTAGACGTTTGTGCTATGGGTCATTCATTACCTGTGCATACCCAGAGTGAAAAGGAAAGTGGTGTTTCCCATTAGGTTTTTTTTTTTTTTTTGAGAATAATTATATGTGAAAGAGGTACTCATTTCTGGGATTTGTAACTGTCTTCTAACTCAGGGATTTTAAACTATGTGCTGCAAGAATTTTTAAAACATGAAATACCTGACATTTAGTCAGAAGCACTGACTTTTTTTTCCCTTAGATTGTCAAATAAAAAATGATAACAGCCAACACAACCATAGTTGTCTGGTGTGAATGCCCTGTCTCGAACCATAGATACTTGTATGTAGGTCATGTAATAGAATTTCATCTTACGATCATGTTGCATAATAAGGTTGCATCTGATTGGTTAATTCTTGATACCAGAAATTCTTTTTTTTTTTAAAGATTTTATTCATTCTCAGAGAGGGAAGGGAGGGAGAAAGAGAGAGAGAGAGAGAAACATTAATGTGCGGTTACTGGGGGTCATGGCCTGCAACCCAGGCATGTACCCTGACTGGGAATCGAACCTGTGACACTTTGGTTTGCAGCCTGCACTCAATCCACTGAGCTATGCCAGTCAGGGCCTGATACCAGAAATTCTTATATACAAAATATATTTTTTTAAAAAGTCACTTTGGAGCAAAAAGGAAATTGTTATTTATTACTAGGTTATTATTATTATTATTATTATTATTATTATTTGTAAAGCAATTAAAGTTATACTTTTTTTTCTTGGATCAGCAAAAAATAATATATTTTTTTGTGCTGCAGAATCTAATAGGTAGTTTATGTGTGACATGAGATGGAAAAGGTTGAAAATGGCTGTTCTAACTCACTGTTTCCTGATGTTGGCACAGTTAGCGTTTGCCATGGGACCCTTCTTTGTTGTAGGGGCCTGCGCTGTGCACTGCAGGGCGCTGGGCAGCATCTCTAGCCTCGCTTCATGCCGCCAGACATTGCCAGATGTCTCTTGGGGGACAAATATCTTTCCAGGTTGCAAACCATCATGCCAACTGCTTCTACTTTTCAAACTTTTAATGACAGAAAACTCTGATAACTTTGATTTATCTTTCTCTAGTATGATTTTTGAATCTCAGTGTTGCTTTTGTATATACACATATATTTTTTTCTTTTTTTTTTAAGCAAAGAAAGATTGTTCTTCTGAGTTATCTGTGCTAATGACAGTTTTAACTTTGGGGAATTTACTCATTGAATGCTGAGCACTAGGAATTTTTTGAAGGAGCCAAGGGACTTTTTTTACTGATTGAGAAGAGAGCTTTAGCTTAGTTGAGATTGAGAAGAGGAAGGACGACATAGAGAAGATAATGTTGGAAAACTAACACGTACCTGACATGGTGTTTTTCACAGGTTCCAGATGGCCAAGTGAGCTAAGTGTCTTCAGGTCACATCTTCTAGTTTTGACAATATCTAGTTTCCCATCATTTCTTCTTCCCATCCCTACTTTAACCTTACTGTCCCTCAATAATCTTCTCCTCCTTCTACTCTTCTCTCCAACATCTGTTTGCTGGAAACTGTGCTCATGTATTCTTTCGTTAAACATCTACAGATTGAATATTTTCAATAGTTGCAAGTTTATATATATTGATGCTCTGTTGCACTTGGTGCCAGAACCTTAATGATATTTGTCATTTTCTTTTGTGGGAGTTGGTGGAAACCGCTGGAAATACTAGTTACTCTCTCACCCTGCTTGGCCCCGTATTGTACTATAGGAGTGGATTCTGTTCTGGGAGTTCAGGGACAAAGGTCAAAGAAGAGGAATCTTAATAACTTTCCTGTGCTAAGCTAAAATGCTGAAGAATGAGTTAGGTTTTAGGAAATACTTTACTCCAGAATTCTTTAACACTTCCAGAGAATGAGCATGTGGCTAAATAGATGGGATGTGCTTTTTTATACTGCGATCTGGGGCCGCAGTGACATCTTGCATTAGGTATTCAGTAGAGAAGCAGATACCACAAAGGCCTTCTCTCACTGAGTGTGAACACCAGACTAAATGACTAAGTTTCAGTTATAGTGTGTTGTATTCCAGAAAGATGAAAACTTCCTTAGATACATCAAATATTTGTGATGTGCTTAAAATTCTGGGTCTGTTTACCAACGATTAACCATAAGGTTTATAAGAAGGAGCCACCAGCAGTTTAATTGAGTTTCGGTGGGTCACTAGATTACCGTGTGAGTGGCAGAGTTTATAGTCAAGTCAGTCTGTTGTAACTCAGTTTAGTGCCTTTTCTCCTAGGGTGCATAGTGATCTATGTTCTTGAACTAAGAATCTTGGGTGTTATAGAAATCTGTGATATACTTTAAAATTGTTGAGATTTGAACCTTTTGCAGAATTCATGGTGGTAACAATGGGTTACATGGTTCAGGCGTTGTTATGTTGTTTTATTGCTGTGCAGTGTTGCTGCCGACTGTCACTTGAAATAAGTGCAGTGATGCTGAGACAGACATCATTTGTAACCAAACACGCTAGTAGTTTTGTAGAACATATATCTGTCTATTGTAATCCAGACAAACTAATTTTCTACGTTTGTCTGGATCTTAGAAATTGCGTGAATTACTTAAGAGTCACATAGCTTACAAAGTGGCAGAAAGTGCTTATTTCAATACTGGTCTGTTGGATTTAAAAAACCCTTACTCTTTGTATTTATATTATAAAAATATTGCTATTATATTATAAGGTATTTTGTAGTAGACAGCACGTAAATGTTACCCAACAGAAATGAAAATTCTTGAGGAAACTGTTATGATTATGGAGGATTATGGTAAATTTAACCTACATTTAGCTGATACAGATCTTAAATGTTCAGAGTTACGTTTAGTATTTATCAGAAAATTTATATTGTTATTGTCGCAAGCATGCTAAGTGTGGCTAGGCGTCATTACCCTCCAGAATCCACACATATATTAGGTGTGCTGGAAGTGTGATCTCTAGGCAGCTGTAGTGATATTACTCAGCCTCAGGCCTTCCCTCTTCTGTGGTTCCGCACCTACTCACTCTTTTTCTTTCTGCAAAGGCCACCATTTTTGTAAATTCTGATGATACTGTTGTACATATTAAAATGTATAGCTGTATTATTGCTTAAAATATTATTCTAGTCTTGCTGGTTTGGTACTAACACTTGGCACTTTTATTTATTTTTTTTTACCTTGCACATTTGCTTTTAATAAACCATCACTTTCAGGATATGAGCAGAGTTAGGTTACAAAGTGAACTTTCTCCTTACTAACTTGGAATTTGCTTATTCTTAAATACAGGTATTTTGGCCTCTCCACAGTCTGCACCTGGAAACCTGGACACTAGTAAAAGTGGAGAGATTAAAGGTAATGGAAGTGGAGGCAGCAGAGAAAATAGTACTGTTGACTTCAGTAAGGTAATTCTCTCATTAACTATGAATCTTCCTAATCATTCTTACTGAGAAAATGGCTAGCAATGTGCCTTTATTAGCATTGATTATAATAACTTTTGAATAGATAGGTGCTTACAAATCTGCGTGTGTTGCTTGCAATAGGTTAATTTAAGGTCAGAAATTGTGGGGGAGGTGACAGTCTCAGAGCACTTGAATATAACTGTATCTTATGTATCTTATTAGTTTTAAATTCTGTCAGGAGAATGCGAATAACAGTATTTTCTTCTGTACCTACTCATAGATACCGTGAAACTTCAGTACCTTTGAAATACAGTCATTTGTTCTAACAGCAGCTACCACCACTAGAAAGATTAATTCTGGGAATGCTATTACAGCAATAGTAGTGACTTCTGCCTTTCCTTCGCTGTAATGTGATCCCAGAATCACTGCCTTATGCTGTCAGTACTTAATGGAATGTCATTGGGAAGCATATCACTGCTTCCCCAGAGTAGGTGAAGGCACAGATTTAAAAACAACTTGTGTATCTCAATGAAACCATCTACCAACTAAACCAACTAAAAAAAACCTGAAATGATTTTTTCATTTTGGTAGATGAGTATTTAGGTGAAATAGAAAAAGGAAATATTCCAAAAAGGGGGGCAAAGAATTATAAGTTCAAGTAACAGTTGAGTGTAAGGCATATTATTATATTGTATGAGTACTGCTTCTGCATAATTGGTTCTGTGTGGCCATTTTAATTTAATGCTATTAATTTGCTACAGGATACTTTCAGTGCTTTAATATTTTTATATTCCAGTGTCAGACATTTAATTAAATGTGATTATTTCAAATAACACTTTATTTCTCTTCAGTCTTTAATAATGCAAATATAGATCATATTTTGTAAGAAACAAGTTTAAATGGTGGTTTGTGTCTATGTAACTTTGCTGGGTTTTCCGCTGCACAATTATAAAAAGCCTCGCATATGGGACAGTGACCGTGCATAAGGGCCGTTGTACTTTGACCTCTGTGTTAACTCGATTCTGTTTTTATTGGTGCTCCTGTTGTTTCAGATGAGTGAAAAGTGTTCAGGAACTAAACTGCAATTTATTCTTGTTAAACGAATATGTTAATATAATTTACATTATAGATCTCCTCTAGACATGGCAGGTGCCGTTTTTTATTTTTGTTCCTCTGTCACAGTTGTAAATTTTTTAATTGGCCTATCCTTGTGTACACCTCCTTGTCTCCTGTTGGGCAGGAGTCTGCCTCCTGGCACTGTAGTTGTGGCACACTGGGTGTGGGACTCAAGAGGCCCGCCGTAAGTGCTGGTTTTCTTTTTAATAGATAGCCCTGTGAGTGGTTGTTTAGTGCCTTGTGTGAAACCGTATCAATGATGGAGTTCCCGTGCTTTAATACTATGTTTGTAACCTCTTCTTTGTAATTATACACAGACAACCAAATTTGACCATATGGCACTACCGTGTATTTACACCAGTCATGGCTATTTATTTTAGTTTTAAATAAAAATAAAAGCATTTCTTCCACTTAATGAAAATACTGGGAAATGCCCAGAGTTCTTTAAAATTAAAAGGACTTATTAAAAAATACAAAGGGACTAATTCATTTCTAAGATTAACCAATAGATTCTTATGAAATAGTTTTTTTAGCACTGTGTATAATTTCACGAGCCGTTGTTAGTTTGTAAACTATATTTTTGTCCTTAACAGTTTTTGATGAATAGTGCTATATTCATTGAAACTTTTCTCTGCTTCCTATGTTTGATGATTTAGATTTCTGAAATAGTAAAGATTATCACAGTTAAAGCGGCTGGGAGTACTGTTTCCTAGATGTATTTTGCTTGCTTTTTTGTATTTGTCTACTCCATTCTTTGTATTTGTAAGAATTTTGGTATTTATTCATTCATTAGATCACCAGTTTTGATTAACAAATGCTAGTCTTAAAAGCATCTTTTCTTTCCTGTTTCTCTTTAAATAGTCTTATAAACACCATGCAAATTTTATTTTACACTACTATTTATTTGTCAATAGGTCGATATGAATTTCATGAGAAAAATTCCCTCGGGAGCTGAAGCATCCAATGTGCTGGTGGGGGAAGTGGACTTTTTGGAACGACCCATCATCGCGTTTGTGAGGCTGGCTCCCGCTGTTCTGCTCTCAGGGCTGACCGAGGTCCCTGTTCCTACCAGGTAGAGAGGCGGTTCTCGCTCACGTCTGAAAGTGTTTTTTTCTCCTACTGAAAGAACATGTTCCTTTATGTAATAAAGGGTCATTTTGTTAATATCGTCTTGTACCTTGTGCTTTGACTATTAGGGGATAAAAGAATGATCTCTCTTTCTGGAACTCAAAATATTTACATTATGCATAAAAATTAAAATAGCAGTAATATCCATAAGAGCAATTAGCAGGCTGTGTTGTAAGGAGTAGTCAGTTCTTTAGCTATTGACTGTTTAAACTTAATTCTAAATGAGAATAATTTAAACTTTTTAAAAAATATTATATATCTCCATATTCCTAATTTACTTGTTTAGGAGTGCATCTTTTTTTTTTAAAGATTTTATTTATTTATATTTAGAGAGGGAAGGGTGGGAGAAAGAGAGAGAGAGAGAGAGAAACATCAGTGTGTGGTTGCTGGGGGCCGTGGCCTGCAACCCAGGCATGTGCCCTTACTGGGAATCGAACCTGCGACAGTTTCGTTCGCAGCCCATGCTCAATCCACTGAGCTATGCCAGCCAGGGCAATTTAAACTTTTTTAAAAATTATTTTTATAATAGTAAATCTGAAGAATTAAGTGCAACTTAATTGAAATGCACATGCCTATTTTCAGTATGCTTTACTGAGGTACATTAATGGTGTGGTATTAAGATAAATGAGAAAAACAATTCCATAGATTCATATTTAAGTTTTTAGAGCAGGAAGATGAATACTTCCTAATTTGGAAAAGTGTAAATGTTAATATTTTCCTGTTGTGTTAATAAGGACTTAATTAAGTAGGAAATTAAACATTTTTATTTAGTCACTATAAAGAAATGAAAAAATCAAATCATATGAGCTTTGATGTTGAATTGGGAGTTGTAGATAAAAATTCTTTTTCCTTCCAAAGAAATTAGTTCCTTATTTGCCAAATGAGAGTTTTTATCCAGATTATATTTTGAGTGATTTTGGATTTTTTTGTGTGTATTCTTTACTCTTTTATTAGGCAAACCTTACTTTTAAGTATTTCAGTGGGATTGATGTTCACTAATTTATTGTTTATTTATTTTGTCAAACAGACTAGAAAAAATTGTTAGCTCAAGTTCAAAAGGATATAGAAGATGGGAACTTTTAATGCAAAGCGCTCAATTCCTTAATTACTGTCTTACCCTAAGGAAGACGGGGTGTAATAACTTGGTGGAAAGTTTATTATGAGTGCCTTTTTAGTTTTGTGATCTGCTCTAGTTTGAGTGGAAATGCCAGCCTTTTACAGTGATTGGTGCGGGAGGGTGATAAAGTGGTCTTAAGTGTTGTTTTGGGGTTTATACTTCAGTGATTTTTTTTAATGATTTCTGAGATTTATGTGTGTATGTCGTTTGTGTTTAAATCTGTGTATTTTACTGTTTTCTTAGGTTTTTGTTTCTGTTACTGGGTCCAGCAGGAAAGGCACCACAGTACCATGAGATCGGGAGATCAATAGCCACTCTCATGACAGATGAGGTAACTGAAGTGCCCTTTGAAGTGGACACTGATTATGAAGTGTATAACATGTTAAATTCTAAGTTCTCTTTTATAGTGAAGCCTAAAAATTGTCCTTGATGTCTTTACTATTTTATCTTTTATTCCCTCGTTTCTTGATTGAATTTATTGGGGTGACATTAGTTAGTAAAACTGTGTAAGTTTCAGGTGTATCTCATATTCACTCTTTGACTATTTTGCCTTTGCTAAAGGTCTTCAAGATGTTTCTGTCAGGAACAGTGGATATTTTTTGGTGTTTTCTTTATTTTCTCCCCTGCATTTGAAACTATTGATTACTTTCTATAATTTTTCTTCATTCTGGATTTTAGGATATCATTTCTTTTGGGTTTCCTCAGGACTTTGTCTTTCTGCCTTTCTCTCCTTTTTCTCTACTTTCTCTTTTCTGTTTGCAACCTTCACCTTTGACCATGACCTAGCTGATCAGGACTTTCCTCTCTCTTTGGGAGATAGCTTTGTGGTCAGGCTCCAGACATCTCTGCCCTGTGTCCCTAAGGTCACTGAAGCCTCAACTCTCTGAACTTGACCTCCTTTCTCTGTCCTCTCTCCAACAGTCAGTCACCAGATTCCATTGATTTTTTACTTCTTTAATGCGCTTTGCATTTAATCTGCCATCTCCACTGCAACTTCTCTGGTTTACAGTCTCTTAACCTTCTTCTCTTTGGTGATTAATACAGACTCTCCGAGTCTTTCCCTGACAGCCTTTTGCTCTACGTTACCAGTTACATGCAGATTTGAATATATCATTGTCTTGATGGAGATGTGTCAGTGACATCTCATTACAGATTTATGTTTAAAGTTAAAATCTTTACCATTGTCTTATAAGGGCTGCCTGATCTAGCCTCTGAATACTTCTCGAAACTTCTGCTTTCCCCGCTTTCGCTCTGGCCACGTCCGCTTCCTTTCTGTTCCTCAGCTGTGTTCCGCTCCCTTCTGCCTCTGGACAGTCACAGTTGGTCTTCCCTTCGCCTGAATTCTCTTATCCCATCTCCACCCGACTCTACCCATTTCATTCAGATTTCTCCTACAGTGGTGCCTCCTCTGAGACCTTCCTTTACCCTGCTTTATTTTTATCAGAGCTTTCATTTTTACCTGCAGTTATGTATTTGTGGAATTAACCTGTTTCACTGTCTTTCCTCCTAGGTTCTTGAGTACAGGGACCTTGCCTTATGTGTGTCCATTGCCCTAAGTGCTTAGAATTGTGCCTGGCAAATAGTAGGCACCCAGTAAATATAAGCGATCAAATCAATTATTTATTTAAGTAAAATTGTACATTCATGATTCTTGGTTAAATGACATTAAAATGTCGTAGGAGTGGGAAGACATGCTAGAGTATTGTTTTGTTTGGTAATGAATTGCTGAGTATTTCCCATGTAAAAATTTATGTTTTTAAAAATTGCTTTGTTTTGTGCTCGCTTTGGCAGCACATATACTAAAATTGGAACGATACAGAGAAGATTAGCATGGCCCCTGCGCAAGGATGACATGCAAATTCATGAAGTGTTCCATATTTTTAGGGGAAAATAAAACTGTAACCAAGTGTCTCGAATTTACAAAAAAAAATTACTTTGTTTTAACACATCACTATTTTCTTTTGTTGTTTGTTACTGTTAATTCATGTGATAATACTGATAGTTATTTTTTATAGTTGTTACTCAGGGTGGGGAGGAGATGTATTTGGGATAAGAGGTTAGGTAATTAATTATCTTCATTGTAGACTTATGATATCTGATGTGGACTTACTATGCATAGTCTTTTTTTCCAACTTTAAAATTCTTTTACTCAATTTTTTTTCCTTTAGATTTTTCATGATGTAGCTTATAAAGCTAAAGACAGAAATGACCTCTTATCAGGAATTGATGAATTTTTAGATCAAGTGACTGTCCTACCTCCAGGAGAGTGGGACCCTTCTATACGGATAGAGCCACCCAAAAGCGTTCCTTCTCAGGTAAGAATCTACACAGTCCTTCGAATTATGTTGAGAAACTATTTTGAGTACATCATACATTTAAAAAAACCAGAAGTATGTAGAGCACTCAGAGAAATTGTACCCCAGTATGTCCCTTTTACATTCTCACCCCTTTACCCACCTGCTGTGGCTCACTGTTTGCTGCAGGTCTTTCATTTTTCTTTGGAGTTTTTATTCAGTACAAAGAAATAGGAACATATAGTTTTATTTTTTCTTCTTTCTTACCAAAAGTTAATATACTGTATGTTCTGTTATGAACCTTGCCTTTTTAAAAATAACAGTATATAACCTGGTGATCTGATCATAAAAAATCATAGAACTATTTCTGTTTTTTTTTTCATCGTTTTGTTGTATTCCAGTTACTGAGTATATCCCAGTGTGTTCGATTCCTGGGCTCAGGCTGCGTGCAGCCTTTTGCTCTTACACACCAGGTCACAGCACTCATGTGCCACGTGAGCCTTGCGCAGACAGGGCTGTAGGATAAATTCCCAGAAACAGGATCACTGGCTCACATGACAGTTTGTGATTTTAGTCGATAATTAGCAGGATCTCTTCTTACCCAGTGAACTTCATTCCTCCCAACAGTGATGAATGAAGAAAGGTGCCCGCGTCCCCGCGGCCTCACCGACACAGTGTGTTGTGGGGCGTTTGGGTGTGTGCTAGTCCGAGAGGCAGCTTCATCCTCCTGCACTGAGTATTTTAGTGTGACTTGACTTGGTGATTTTGTCATTAGTGAGGTTGACTATCTCTGAATATATTTTCTTCCTTGCCCTCCGCCACCGTATTTTTTTTTTTTTTGTACATTTAAATTGTTCATTGAGCCTTTGGAATTTATTCATGGTGTATTATGCAGAATATGCCTCCAACTCTTTTCCTAAATTGCTGTTTTGTTCTCCCAATTTATTAAACAGTTCATAAATTTTTTTATTATTCCTGTTGGTCAGTGATGTGGCCTTTCTAATTTACTACATTTCCATTTGCATTCAGGTCTTTCTGTGGAATTTCTTTGCCATTGGTGTGTCTCTTCATGGATCAGTTCCACACTAATGTTTGAGGCTTTTTGGTATATTTTAATAAATGGAAGGTTTCGATTCATTCTTGACTCCTCTTACTCTTGTTTTTCTAAATTTCCTTGATTATATTTCCATATTTTTTTCTATGTAAGCTTTAAAGTCGGCTTCCTATTTACAGAAAAAACCTGATTTAAAAAAAATTGTGATGGCAGTTAAATTTCTAAGTGAACTCAGGAGAAACTGACATCTTTATGACACTGAATCTGTTCAAAAACATGGTAGATCTTTCCCTAGTTGCCTTCCTGTTTCAAGTCAGGTTTTGTGTCCTTAAGGAATGTGATAAAAGTTCTTCTTATCTATGCTTTACAGATTTCTTGGTGAGTGTATTCATTAGTAAATGAATCTTTCCTGTTTCTATTGTAAATGAGGTCTTTGTTCAGTTATTATATGTCTGTTACTTTTTATTTTTTTTGAAGGCTGTTTGTTGCTATATATTTTTTATCCTGCTACCTTTCTTGATTATCTTATTGTTTGTAAATTTTCAGTCATACAATCTGCAGTATTTTAATCCCTCCTTTTAAAATTCTTACACCTCTGATATGTTTTCTGTTGTCTAATTGTATTGACTAAAATCTCTGATAGTGTTGACTTTATATAGAAATTTCTTAGATTCTGTGTTCCTAAGTTTAATGATGTTGGGACCAAAATACACACTTTATCATGTGCAGAAAGTATGCCAATTCCTATTTCATTGAAAATTTTAATATAAGTAGATGTCGAGTTTTGTTAAAGGGCTTTTTAGCATCTGTGGAGATGATCATATGAATTTTCTTTACCAGTTATTATGATAAATCATGTTAATAGATTCTTTAATATGAAAACACTCTTGCACTATTGCAGTAAACCCACCTTGGGCTCTAATGTGTTGGTAGTCTACTTCTAGTATTTTATTTAAGTTGTTTGCATCTTGTAAATAGTTTGGTCTAATAGATTTTTGTGCAGTTTTATGTTTGGCTATTATTATTATTATACTTGGTTTGTAAAAACACATTTTTGTTTTTCCCTTTTCTGTAGTCTTAAAACTTTAAATGGCTTGGAATAATTTGGTTCTAAAAGTTGGAAGAATTCTTTTGTAAAATTTTCTGAGCTTGAATCTTTTGTTGCGTAATAGGCTTCAATAACTTCCTTGGTCTGTGGAAATTGGTTGGAGTAAGATTTTTATTTTTTTCTACTGTCAGTTTTAGTAAATTATAGTACTGATTTCTCTCTTTTCTGGTGTCAGTTTTGGGAAATTTTGTTTTCCTAGTATACTACCCAGTTCATCAAGGTTTTAAATTTATTTGTATAGGGTTGTACAGTATACTGTCTGCCTCTTTTATATATTTTTACATATATATATACACACACACATATAAATATGTACACACACATAAGATTTCCCCCAGTTTGTGAAGTTGCCTCCCTGTCATATCTTTTGTTGTGGTTAGCTAATGGTTTATCATATATTTCAAATAGGGTAGCTGTAAAAATTTATATCAGTTTTTTAAATATATACATTTTTTCTAACTGAATTCCTGCTTTAGCTGTTTTTATTCCTTTTACATTCCTTCAGGAGAGAGTTTTTTTTTGTTTTTAACATTTCCTGAGTTAGGTGCTTATTAATTCATTTATTTTCTTCTTTCATTTTTCTTAATATAGTTATGTTTGTTTTCTAGGAGTCCCATAATTTTCTTTTCTTTGTGTTTTGATCTAAGATGTAACTTAGTTTTTGTTTTTGATATTTTCAAGTAATCTTATGATTATAAATAAGTTTTTTATACTCTATAAATATTCAGTATATAAACCAGGTAGTGTAAGTTAGTAGTTTATCTAGAACCTTGACCCAAGGGACCTCCTGGGATGACCCACCTCTCTCTCTCTCTCCCTCTCCCTCTCTCTCTCTCTCTCTCTCTCTCTCTCTCGCTTTCCTTCCCTCTCCTTTACTTTTCCTACCTCCCTCCTCTTATCCTCCTCCTCACGTTTTCTCTCGTCCTCTCTCTATCATTCTTTTAGGCTCAAGTAACAGCTTAAAAGCTCACTCCCTTCTCTTCAAAAGAGCAGGATGACATCCTTTATCATGAGAATTGTACTCTTGAATTTGTAATAAAATTGAATGGGATATTGATTTTTTTATGAAAATGCCTTTAAGAACAACTTGTGTACTACTTACATCATAAGAGAAGTATTTTAGTAAAAGAAGAATTGCATTTACTTTTTTCTTAATGTAAAGTATATTTCAGTAGTGTACATGAGCAGTGTTTTAAAAATTCTGGTCGGAGAGATGTTTTATTGGATATTTATGTTTCTGATACTGAATAGTAACTTGAAATGGTGTGTACGGATGTGTTTTATAGCACATTTGATCTTAGAGTATAAAATGGAACAAGCCAAGCATGAACTTAAAATATTAATAGATAAATATTGGCTTCTGTTTTAAAGGACAGCTTATTTAAAGAAGTTTTCTTTAGGAAGCATTTTTTTCTAGGAGCACTAATTAGATAGATAGATAGATCTCCAGTAAGAGATCTCGTGCTCCCTCTGATTGATGCCATCAATCAGATGGCATCAATGATGGCCTCCGAGATGCCATCTCGGATTTCTTAAAACAAAATTCTGAAACTGTGTTTTTTTTCTTTTTTTTTTTGTGAAATGCAGGAAAAGAGAAAGATTCCTGTATTTCCCAATGGATCTGCCCCCAGCTCGGGTGAGACTCCTAAAGAGGCTGCTCATCATGCTGGGCCCGAGCTACAGAGGACCGGACGGTGGGTACACGCACTGCTACTCTTGTGAGACTAGGGCTGATTTGATGGAAAAGGCACACAAATTCTTTTTCTTTGCAAATATTCGAGCCTAATTTTATATGGCTGTTTTTACATATTTTTAAAAATATGCTTTATTGTATAGGTATATGATGTTAAGGAAAATTAACTTGCATTTAAAAAAATTTTACTAGTATATACTTGGGTTATATATACCAAGATTTAATTTAAAGTGAAAGTATTATGCAACATATATTAAGAATGTTGTATAATTATAAGAACAGGTTAATTTACATTAATTTATAAGAATTTTTGAAGAATGTGTGTAGTCTTATAATTCTTCTTAAGACGTTAGAGAATGATGGGAACAGAAGTTATAACCAGTTTTTTTTTGTGCGTGCATAGACTTAAAACTCTTAAAAGAATATTAGTATCATAAGATAATGTAAAATAAGATAAGTATAATTAAACCATGGTATTGTTCTCTGGCAACCCAGTTAGAAAAATTGTTGAAGTTGTTCATTTTTGTGATGAAGGGTAGAAATATAGCCAGGTGTAAACATTGCCGTAAAATACTTTTCTATAGAACTAATCAGAAAAGTGTGTGAGTATTGATACCTTTTTGTCCACTGGTGGTCTCTATGGAAGTAAACATTGCATCTTAAATGTTTGTTTAAAAAACCAGGATGTCTTTTACAGATACACTTACTATTAGGGATATTAATGACATACCTAAATAATACTGTATGGGAGAAAAATAACAACTGGCATACTGACTCGAAACTTTAGAGAAGTTTAAACTAACAATTAATTTATTGACTAATACATTAGTCTCTGTGAATATAATAGTGAATAAGATTGTCTCCGTGCAGAAGATACTGATCTGACATTAGCAATTGTTACTATTATTTCCTCAAACTTCAAACTGAGATAGGACTAGGCACTGGGAAGTACCAGGGCCCCTACTGATCTTACGATCAGGTCAACTGACAGCCTTATATAAGCTGTTAAATAATCAGTGATTTATTTGATGATGTAATTTCATTTTCTAGATTATCATTGGCATCATTTTTTATTACAACTTGATTCCCCTTGCTGGCAGATAATTTATAAGATAACTTCTTCCACTCATGTGTGATGATACATTTCACTGTTCACTTAAAGTTAGAAGGGTAACAAAGCATTTAAAAGCATAGGATCAGTTTTCTACAGTAGGGATTTGAATGATTGTATACTTTTGAGTCATAAAACCTTTTTGAATTACTGATTTGCCACAAGCATTTACCGAGTACCTCCATGTCCCAGGCAGTGTTCCAGACACTGGAGGTAATGGCATGGAATGAGAAAAAGTCTCTGCCCCTCACTGAACTTACATTTCAGTAGAATGCTTTCAGGTTAGCTGTACCTGAAGTCTGATTAGAAAAAAACAAACAAACATGAAAATGACATAGCTTTGATGTGTAAATACAAATTTTTAAATTTACTAATTAAAACTTCTTAATATGCATACTAGTTTGACTATATATATGTAAATTACTTATACTGCGGTAGTTATTAGGCTTTTTTCCCAGACCAGAAATATTCATGCAAGTAAAGTACTAATTTAAAAAGTAATGAAATTATTTCATTTACTACTGAGTGTATCTAAGCAAAGCATACTCTATTTATATTAAAGGGTATTTTGGGGGCTTATTATTTATAATTGCCTTTCTGGTATTTCGGATACCTGCCTTTAAGATTTATAATGTGGACAATAATTAATAGAAGTGTTTATGCATATTTTCATGGATGAGTTGTTAGATTTTATTTTTATTGTACATTTTCTTGCACATTTGCGTCTGAAATTACATTTAATTATATAAAATCATTTGCCTGTAGTCGTCTGAAATTACATTTAATTATATGAAATCATTTGCCTGTAGTTCTTTTACTATATAGTCTGTAAAGTACAGATGTTTATGTCTCTTAACTTAACGAGGGTCTGCCTCTCCTCTACCAGTGGGTTAGATTAAATGAGTATCTTCTGTAATTGATGTATACCATGATTTAAATAGGTTATGAATTTTTGTTGACAAAACACTAGACACCAGCAGTTTTATGTAGCCCATAGTTGTAGTTTGAAATAGCTAGAATCCTCTAGTGTACAGTTTGACGAGTTTCATCTCACCTATTTAGGCTTTTTGGTGGTTTGATACTTGACATCAAAAGGAAAGCACCTTTTTTCTTGAGTGACTTCAAGGATGCATTAAGTCTGCAGTGCCTGGCCTCGATTCTTTTCCTATACTGTGCCTGTATGTCTCCTGTAATCACTTTTGGAGGGCTGCTTGGAGAAGCTACAGAAGGCAGAATAGTGAGTACAAAGATTGGTAGTGGCCAGGCTCTTAGCTCTTCAGAGGCAAGTGTCTGTGTGCATTTGTCTCACTATTCATACTTTTATTTGAAGAGTCTACCCACAGCATGATTAACCCGTCCAAAAGCAGACTTCCCCCAGAGGTAATTGCTATGGAAAACATGGGGAAGCCATATGAACAGGAGAAGATGCACAGTTGATGTTAAAAAAAAAAAAAAGAAAGAAAGAAAGAAAGAAGATGATGAAGAAAAAGAGGAAAAAAAAAGTTTATCTTGGTTTGCCGGATGAATGGTTTTATAAATTGAGAAAAAGGCTTGTGTTGCCTGTGTGGGGGAGAGGGGTCTGGTGGGGGGAGACCACCTGAACTGGTTCCGGGTGGGCCGTGGGTCGGGGGGTGTTGATCACTGGGGCTGCTTCACGTTCCATGTAAGGCATCGTAGGGTAGTCAGAGCCACGTGAGTACTGTTAACTAACTCATCAGCCCTGGCGGGTAGGCCTGGACTGGACTATTTGGAAGAAGAGAACATAATTGAGGACAAACGGATGTCTGAAATGGTGCTTACTTGAATTTTGCTGTTACTAGATTTGTGTGAAAGTAGTCTAAACTTTTTACTGGAAAGTATAACTGAAAACTGCATTCATTATTTAATATGACTGAATTGAAAGTTTTTATGTTTTTTGTTCTTGACTAAAATGAAAGTTTTAATATCTTTTTTGTTCTTGGTAAAATTGTATTAGGGGCCATGGGAAGTGTAACTGAATAGTGCTTTGTGAAATCTTGATATTTTTTGTTTATATACATTATAATGACATTTAAATGCGATGCTTTGTAATTCTTAAGTATATTTTATTCAATTATATTTACTCTTGGGAGAAAAATCAATTTTTAAAACAACAAATAAAAGGTTAAAAAATAGCCAAAGCTAAGTAGTGATAATTATTTAATTAAAGTATTTCATGAGCTGAACATGAGATAAACCTGGCAATTGAACTATCCTTTCAACTCAGTTTACTAGATTCTTTTACCTTATTCTGTAATCACTGAATTTAGGGTGTTTTTCGTTTTTTGTAAGATGCTTTCTGTGCTGTCACAAGTTCTGTGTTGACCCTGCTGGTCCCTGTGGGAACATGTCTTGTCAGTGACGATCAGGGAACTGCTGCCTTGCCCTCGGACTCTGCCTGTCACTCACTGCCTGCCCGTCTCATCCTGCTGTTAGGACCATGTGCATGTGGTAGTGCTTTAGGTCCCGGAGGGACAGGGACACGTGTCACATGCATGTGTGTCTTTTGCCCCCAAGGATCTTAATCTAAGGGGGAAAAAGGACAGTATCATGTGGTTACTGTGCCACACCTGAGTGGGATAAAGGTAGAGCCACCAGAGTTGAAGTAATAGACATTGAGTGCTCAAGAGTGTCGTGGAGGAAAATGATTTGGAGATGTGTTTGTCTTCAGGTGCTTTATTGGAACTTGAAGTATAAATGGGGGCTCTAGGAGGCGGAGTTCCAGAGTTCGTAGTGGTTAAGGAAGAAATGAGTAGGTTGGGAGCCCTGCATGTGCAGGTGGGGCTCGAGGCTGAGACTGGTTGAGTCTACCCAGGGAGGGAATTTACAGGGAGAGAAGGTGAGGGAAAATTGGGAAGTTACTCACGTTTATGGAATGAGAATGAGGAAGGAAACGGCCCAGCAAATTAGAAACAGGCCCTATCGGAGCTCTGAAAGGAGAGGCAGGATGATGTAATTTTGCAAAAACCGAAATAGAGGTTCTTGAGGAGGGAAGACTAGCAGAGGGTCTTCAGGGCCAGGCAGTGGGGAGAGGTGCCTGGGGAAGAGAAGGGTGGGGCTTTCGGTGGGTGAAACGGAGACTTCTGAATGTGGGTTGGGGGTGGCAGGAAGTGGGCCTGTGATTCCTTTAGGGAGAGACCTGATGTAGTTTGGGAATGAACACAGAAACATTTTAACAACTAGATAAAGAAAAATAAAGGACCCAGTAAATGTGGCAGGAGGGGCTGAGAGTGGAAAGGAGGGTCTTCCTGTGGCCATTTATGCATTTTCAGTACAGCGCTGGGGAGGGGAACTCTGATTTTGTGCCTGTCTGCCCCGTTAGCATTTCTTCGTTTGCCATCTCCTTGCTTTTCTCTCGTTTTTTTTTTTTGCTTTCTATTTCTAGATACCATTTCATGTGTAAATATGCATATTCTGTTGTAACTAAGGATTTCACAATGGGTCAGCAGTGTCTTCCAGGACAAACAGCGTCTGTGGGCAAGAAAAACTTATCTCCTACAGTTAACACAAATACTGTTAACATGGCACTTTTTCATTTTGCCAAAAGTCAAGTTTGCATGTCGGTTTGATCCCATTTTTCTACAAATAGTTACACAGTACCTGCACTGCATACTATTATTTTGCCCTTAGATTTTGGGGGGTGCTGTTTATTGCCGATGATGAGGATTGCTACCCTTTTTTGAGTGCATTCTGTATGCCCCATGCCAGGCTTGTTTCCCAGACACTGCTTCATTAAGTTCTCCTGGCGACCGTCGCCCACTTTAAAACGTGAGAGAACGTGGGCTCAAAGTCCCAGGTGTAACCGTGGCCTCCCACCCAGTCGGAGCCAGTCTTCCCCTTCGGGCCTGGTTCTCCAGCCCTGCTCCTGGCCAGCTGCTATGCTGCTTCCCCGTTCCTGGGGCTGTTTCTCACAGCGTCTTCTCTCTCCTTTTACTCAGCGATCATGGGCTTTTCCTTTCTTGATAGTATACTCCATATGACCTTGATCTCTAAGAATGGTAAACTATTCTTTCTGGCCCCTCCCTTCTGTCTAGTGGCCTAGCTCAACCCTCTTACTATCTAATAACCTGAAGTTAGCATGTAATGTTGGTAGTCGTATAAAATGGGCTGCTAGCTTTGATTTAAAATCTCTAAGTCTCGTCATTTTCTCATTTTATCTTCTGTTACCACACTTTTATAACAGTAAGGTACTTCCTCATTTATGATTGCTGTCAGTTTTATAAAGAGTTTTCCATCTATTTTTATTTATGTTAAGCATTTTATTTTTGGTATTTATTGGTTAAGCCTGTCATCTTAGATTAATTTCTTTAAAATGTGTGGGAAATTATTCTTTAGAAATCAATTTGAGAACAATATGATCACATGTTCATTTCTTAATCTGTTTGAAGGAGTCTTTTTTCCTAACAGGGTATCGAGTATTCAGTATGTTTTCTGTTTTTTAAATGAACTATTTCAAACATATAAAAATGTTCAAAATATATATATGAATCTTTGTACCCAGCACAGGCTTAAAGCATCTATAGATCACATTGAAGCCTCTATGTCTGTCTTCCATTTATTCCTCCCTCCTTGCCTTGCATGGTATTGAGTTTTGCATTAAAGTTGATGTCGAAAGGTCACTTTTAATGTGCAAAAACAATGCACTTTTACTTGTGTATTTAAAATGCATTTTTAATCTTCTGTATTCAGAATTTAAATTTGAGACTCAAAGTGTGGTTTGCTTTATGTTTTTAACTGCTTGATTAGTCTTCTTTATTTTGCAGATGTTCATTACATGTATCATGACAGGTTAGAGATATGTTTATGATGTATTGCTTTTATTCATTTCTTTTTTCCTCAAACAGAGTGCAATAGAGTCTCTTTTTGGAGCATCATTAACTGGGATTGCCTACTCGTTGTTTGCTGGGCAACCTCTAACAATATTGGGGAGTACAGGTCCCGTTTTAGTGTTTGAAAAAATTTTATTTAAATTTTGCAGGTACGTAATAGTTACCTCCTTGTCACATGTGTTTATATATGTGTATAGTTATATATTGTTTTTTTGGTTTTAGGTAACTAAAGTACATTGTATATTATTAATTGCTGAAAAAGAAGATCTGATCAATATAGATATTTTTAATGTGTTTGTGTCACTATGTGGTCGACGCTCCTCTGGCCCCTGTTGTCATCTCTGTCCCAATCACCTTGGGTGTAAAATCAGTGCATTTGAGTACAGATAAGCACATCACTCGTGGGGCAATACAGATTTTTTGTGTTAGCAAATTTGAACTCAGTAAGAAAGTGTTAGTCTGAATTGCGTATTACATGGTATATTGGTTTCATACAAGGAGTTTGGGAAGGTGGATCTTGAGGGCCTGTTCAACAGAGGGGGCTGCCGCCGTCGGAGGGGGCGTCAGTTCCCACCGGCAGGGTGGGGGACAGCGGGAACCAGTTCAGGGCTCTGTAGTTGGTATGCTGGGAATGGGACAGGGCCAGTGCTGCTCCTCTTGTGACGTAAATACAATGGAATGTTTCAACGTGAAGCAACCTGATGCTATTAAATAGCATTCCTCTAACTCCTCCTCTAAATTCCTCTAACTCCTCCTCCTCTGATTCTTCCTTCACTGAACCAGCTGATTCTGATTCTGATCTGGCATGCTACATAGACTAATGGAGAATGCAAGGACTTAGAGTGTTTTAGCCTCTGTGGGAGTACCTTCTCACTTGAAATTGAAAAAAATGAAGTCACTTTCTCTGGAGATACTGGTGGTAGAGGAGGGGGTGGCGGTGGCGGCAGTGACAGTGACAGTGGGGCAGCAGTGTGATTACCGTGTGGACACTAGAGCATCTGGGTCTTCTGAGGGAGTCGCACTCACTTGTTCTGTAGACTGCTTATCTGCCATTGACTCCTCGTAACTGATTTCTGAGGAGAGGTCTTTGGTTTTGAAATATTGCCTAATAGGTTTTCACTGTGAATCTTTCATGTAGGTAAAATGTAACCATTAAGTCTGTTTAAGAAGCCAGTCTTCATTTGAAGCAGAAAAACACATAAGGCTTCCATTAGTCATTATTTTGTTACTCTAATTTATTCTCTAGGAATCTTGCATTGTTATACTGTTCTTATTGCTCGTGATGAAAATTTTAAGTGTAAATACTATTCTGGGTGTATATGTTGATCATGTTCATGTTCTTCTTTCTAAACAGAGATTATCAGCTTTCCTATTTGTCTTTAAGAACCAGTATTGGTCTGTGGACTTCTTTCTTGTGCATTGTTTTGGTTGCAACAGATGCCAGCAGCCTTGTGTGTTATATTACTCGATTTACAGAGGAGGCTTTTGCAGCCCTCATTTGTATCATATTCATCTACGAGGCTTTGGAGAAGCTCTTTCATTTAGGAGAAATATATGCATTTAATATGCACAACAATTTAAATGAACTGACCAGCTACTCGTAAGTGTTTCTTTTCTCTCTAATATTAAAAAGTATTTTTGCAGAGATGTCTGAGGCTAAGAATGGATTTTTTTTTGTTTTTTTTTGTTTTTTGCAATGTGATGCTCACTCTGTATCTAGCTAAAATTACCCAACTAGCTAAGTGAAGGTTGACTTGCTATGGATGAGGTTTTACCAAAGCACTCAGTGGACATGAATCCAGTCAAACAAATTCAGTCATTTTGATTCCATAAATGTCATTCTGCATTGGGCCGACTTACATGGAGAAATGTGGTTACCAACAAACAACAAGAACATTACTTCCCCCCTTCTACCCACCTAACGTCCAAATCCCTGTATCCTTCCCGTCCCCTCCTGTTTGTCCTCCTTCCCCCTTCCCTCGCCTGCCTTGCCCACTCTCCACTTTGGTGCACAGGGTAGGGTGGGCTATGGAAATTCCTTTAAGATGCTGACCTGTTTGAGAATATTAGCGACAGACACTTTGATGCTGAATCTGTTTTGTGCTATCTTCTTTGCTCTGGCACTATTTAATTTTTTTAATGTTTTTTTTTGTTGTTGTTGGTGGTGGTGGTTGTTGTCTTTTTTAGCTGCTCCTTTGATTATGTGGAGCATGGTTTTTATATTACTGCCAGACAGAGTGATGCCTCCTTCTGGCTAATTACCCGTGAACATCCTTTGTTCAGTTAACATTCTGTAAGCAATTGCTAGGAATGTTGCATAATCCATATGGTAGTGTTACTTAATTATTCATATGTATAAAGAAAGGCTCGTGGAGGTTAAACCTTGCCTTTGGTCAAACAGCTAGTAAATAATAGAGCTTGGATTGAATCCAAAGTCCAGCCTCTTGCCTCTTCTTAAACAAGTTATAATCTCATTGGGAACATTCCTGTTTGTGTTCCATTTTTAAATCCACATTTAGAGATTGCTTTGCATGTGTATGTGTTTCTAGCTTTTTTTTTTAAGTGTTGAATTAGTTTTGGATGTGAGCTAAAACTTTTCCCCCTGATGACTTTCCTACTCTTGTCCTGATGAAAAACTGTGTTGTTACTTATTTCTTTAAGTATGAATCTTAGGTCAGCAAAGGATGAGTAGGTGGGGCTTGTCAGAGTACAAGGAATTACTGGGAGGATAATTTTTTTTGGAATCTGCATGCTGTATGTGTAGATGGGGAGGCGGCCACAGGGCCTATGGAGATTAAGTGGATAAGATTTAGTAACCCCCTAACCCCCCACCACAAGGGATGTGTCCAACTAGTTTCATTAAGTAAACACCTTACCACTATTTGTGTTAGTTATGTTTTATTTATTATATAAGGCAAACCTCATTTCATTCCGTTGTTTCTGATGCGTTTTCACTGTCCTAGTCTTCATGCGTTAAACATAGGAAAAGTTAAAAGCTACCACTTTGATCAGTTTTATAAAACATAAAAAACATGAAGTACAGGACCCTAAACATGTTACCCTATTCTGATTTCTCAGATGTGTATGTGTCGAACCTCCTAACCCTAGCAACGAAACTCTGAAGGTGTGGGAAGAAAGGAATATAACCGCGCACAATGTTTCCTGGAGGAATCTCACTGTTTCTGTGAGTATATTATAAAACAAAGGGTTTTGCAACTGTTAAGCTAGTTCTTTAGCTTATTCTGAGGAGATCTACGTTTTCTTCTTGATCGATAGATACAGTATGTTTTCAGAATGCAGCGTTATGTGGACCAAGTGGGAGTTACCCACGTGAGTGTGGGCCCTGCACTGAAGAGTGTAGGTGGAAAAGAATGAAACTGGCATAGGAGAAGAAGAGGGAATGTATTTGAGCGCCAAGATAGAATGATTAAAAAGATGTGAATATACTTTTTTTTCCCCTAATTCCACTTAGATTGATAAATTCAAAGGAAGCATATACTAGGTCTGTGGCTGCACAGACTGGAGCTGACAGTTAAAACCACCCTATCTGCTTGTCCTGCCTTCTGGGTATTGGTTCCTCTGCTCTGTGAACAGCTTATTTAGAAGACAGGAAGTCTGCAAATGTCCTGAATGTCACCCTGAACCTTGTTTAATTTGTAGCGACTAGCCCAACCTAAGCACTAAGGGAAGAGAAAAGAGGAAGGGCAGATCATAGAATGAGCACCTACTGCGTCCTGAACACTCTTGGGTATTCTTGTATTCTGTTGGGAAATGTTGTCCTAGCCCTAGAATGGTTCAGTTTGGACATGCCCCAGGTGGGGATTTAGGAGTAAAGATATAAAGTGATACTACTAGTATCAATTAACATCAAGATTCCCTGAGCTTCTCTGGTGCTTTTTATAGCATGTGAGCAATTTCAGGTCATTTTTTTTTTCTCACTAAAGGTGACAGCACTTAACTATGTAATTGGAAGGATATCATCTGAAATTTTATTCCATTGATAATTTAAAGTCTGTGTTGTTCAGTGTAGCAGTCATTAGCCACGTGTGTCTGTTTAAATTTAAATTAGATGAAACTCATTAAAAGTTCAGTTTCTCAGTTGCTGCAGCCACATGCCATGTTCTCACCCACCTCATGTGAATACTGGTTGCAGTATCAGATGGTGTGGGTATGGAACGATTCCACCATCACAGAAAATTCTGTTGGATGGTAATGATTGAAAGCATTATATATCAGCAATTAACTTAGATTAATACTTTGCCTTTCATGTTAAAAAGTCAACTTTTGTTATGAAAGAGGTATAGTTATAACAGAGGTGCTCAAAGTGATTTGTTAAAAACACTCATTTCATGATGAATAGGACGTCTCCATATTATAGATGTAGGTCTTTTCAGTGTGTTTTCTTGACACCCAAAACAGCTATGTCAGGTTGTTTTGGTGGTTGTAGCTTTTATTTTCATGATCCAAATTGCAAATGTGTAGGTCTGCTAATCTTAGCACATACAATTGAGAAGAACAGCCCCTCTGACTGTTCATGTTTGGCTGGGGCAAGCCCGTGCTGGGTAAAATGAGTCCCGTTAGCAGGTAGGTGCGGGGAAGGGCACTTCAGCAGCGCATGTCTCTGTGAACAGCTGGTCGCCTTCAGTTATCTTTCCCTCCAAAGGGAAGATGAAGCCAGCCTTATAACTGGATTATATTGTGTTGCGTTATTGATTATGTTATTGATTTTTATTAGTGGAAATATTGTTCTAATAGTCAAGTTACTGCTCATAGTCCAGTGCTTTAATCCCGCTGTCTTGAATCACGCAGGTCAGAAAAGCCAACGGTAGTTTTTATTACTGATTTGAATTTTAGTAATGTAGCTATTTCTTATTGAGCATCAGAAAGAGGTATGGTAGTAAGGTTTTCTCCCTGTTGCTTTTGTTGTAAGGAACTTCTTGAGAAGTAAAGAGTAAACTTAGGAACCAGCAAGATTGCAGACAAAACTTTTAGGAATTAATACTCACTAGAAGCTTTCCCCGAAAGGAAACATGAAGTTGAAAGAAAGGAGAATATGATGTAACTTGGCAAAATACTGTATTTCAATTCAGTGATTTCCAAAGCACACATCTTCTCAGACCATAACGTTGCTAAACTCAGGATGTCTCTTAACAATTAGTGGCGTGTTAAAGTTGAGCTGGGAGTGTTTTTTTTCTTTCTAAATGACACATGAAGTAATGGCATGTCTTATAATCAGGAGCACGTTACAGTCAGTGAAATTCCATTAGTACTTTATTGGTACCTGAGAATCCCCATTAATCTCTTGTTTTTCCCCTCTTCTCTCCAGGAATGTAAAACCTTTCATGGTTTATTTGTAGGATCAGCTTGTGGTCACCATGGGCCTTATATTCCAGATGTGCTCTTTTGGTGTGTTATCTTGTTTTTCACCACATTTTTTCTGTCTTCATTCCTCAAGCAATTTAAGACCAAGCGCTATTTTCCTACTAAGGTAACTGGGGTGTAATTTGGGGGGACTTCTGGAAAAAGTCACATTTTTTGTTTTCATCCCCTTAGTTTATTTCAAAACAGTAATAAATTGTTTGAAGAAGTTAATACTTTATGTCAAATAGTTACAAAGAAATGACTCAGTGAATAATGTGTATTGGATGTCTGAGCTGGCAGTGGGAAAATGATGATACTTTGAGAGGTGGTAGGCTAGTTACGAAATGTGTTTACTAACTTTTGGAAAAAATATTAGATATAAATGTATTTCACTGACACACTGTCACTAATTAAAAACCTCATTCACGCTTTCTAGTGGCATATTTTGATCTGAAAGATATGAATTCATTAGAAAAGATACATGATATTTCTGTTTATATTAACATAATCCCTTTAACATAGGTGCGATCGACAATCAGTGACTTTGCTATATTTCTCACAATAGTAATAATGGTTGCAATTGACTACCTTGTAGGAGTTCCATCTCCTAAACTTCATGTTCCTGAAAAATTCGAGGTAAGGACTAACACACTTGACTGTTTATTACTGGGGCATACCAAACTACTTTAAAGTAAGACTCAGCTTCCTAGGCAGTTATTTTTAAAATGTGCAGTCTCTCTGAAAAGCAGATGCTTTGAAAGGAAAATGATTTCCCACATGTATTTAAAAAAAAAAAAAAAGGCAAGATGCAAAGCTACCGGTCAACATATTTAGGGAATTAGCAAGAGGGTATCGAAGCTAGTCCACCTTGGAGAATGAATGAAAATGTCCATGATGAATTGGGAAAAGTTTAAAAAGTTTGACCCTGCTCTCATTGCTGCAGTTCATGATGTACTTTCCAGGCAAAAGGAACATTCTTCATCCTTTATAAAGAAGTAACATCAGACTTGAATTTACGAGTAGCAAGGGCATCCTAGTTAAATTTCTGGAAGGTCAGTGTATCTGACAGTAATTGGAAAGCTCCATGTAACATATTCTAGCAGAACTAGGAGAGATTCAAATGTTTTTCCACAAGAAAAAGGATACTTGACCTAATCATCCACGAACCCTTTGTTTTCATTAGCAAATTAGAGTTCTTTTGTGTATGAAATACCATATGCATAATGTAGTGTCCAGTAATTATCTTTCCTTCTATGATAGAGGTGGGTAGCTTTTGAATGATTTCTGGAATTTCTTCTTAGAGTCAGGTGTTTGTGTCACTGCTAATATTTACATCTAGCAGATCAGATGACTTCTTTTAGAAGCAGATGATTTAAAGGTGATCAGATTATTAAAGAAAGTAATTAAGATAATTTTAGTCTGTTTAACCTTTAGCTGGGATAAAAATAAGTAACATTATTTGTAAAACCAGTGGTCTCTAAAGTAGAGTACATGGGTGGAAAATAATACACCAAAATTATTTAAAATGTCTATTTATATTTTTATCTAAAAATAAGAAAAATTAAGCCTTATAATCTTTCCTGTATGATAACCATTAAGTAACATAACAGGTAAATGAGTATAGAGGCATGGAGTATATGTGCTCACCTTTATGTGTAAAAATTTTTAACTTTTTGCTGCCAAGAGTGTATAATAAAGAAACATTTAGAGACCTTTGTTAAAAACATAGATTTTGAGTTACTAAAGATTTTAGGCCATGAAAAGATGACTAATGAGAAAGTCTTTCTGTTTTTACCTAATTTCACAAGTAAATGAAACTGTAAAATAATATTGGTTCAAAATATTGATTTAATTTCCTGTAGTCATGGCCCCATTTTCTAAGTCTGGTTTTTAAATATATCCTTGTTACTCATTTATTGATCTAGCCTTCAGAGCAGATTGATTTCCAGGGGCATAAAATACACCTAGGGAAACAAATTAAGGAACACTTAAGAATGTATGCATTGTACAGGTAAAAGATTTTTATATATGTGTAATACTGAATATGACAGGAGTTTAATGTATATCAACATGGGAAAATTGGACTACCTGAATTATTAAATACTGAATTTCCCTTTTGTATTGACAAATGTTTTCATGAAGAAAAATGGACTTAATATGAAGTCTAGGGAATGAAAACATGTTTAGATTTCGATATGTCCAAAATCCTCCAAGAATATTAAACTCTCTTACAGTCTTTTAAAAATTTTTGCTGTAAAACAAATTGAAATGCATTAGCCTCTGGTAAAGGGCCAGATTTTTGTCAGTAGATGCTTGGGAAAAACAGTGTGCTGAAGCCCAACCCGCAGTACTGACGGTGCCGAGATCCTGGCCTGCGGGATCTCTGAAGCAGTTTGGTTTAGGAGCTGCCCTAGTAGGAGGATTGAATTTCCATTGTATGAAATAGATTGGGACATGTCTAAATGACGCTCTGCTCACTTACCTATTCCTGTGTAGTATATAAACCTCCCACAACATAACGCCTTTAAGCAGCAATCCTTTATTTGTTCATAACTCTGTGGTATTGGGACTGTGCTTAGGTGTGTAGGGCTCTGGTCTCCTGTTTGTACTATTTCATGTGGCCACAGCCATCTGTTGCCTTGTTGGGGGGCAGTGTGACCTCGTTCCCAGGCCTGTGACTTCAGATAACTAAAACAGCTGGGGCGGTCGCCTTCTGTCTCTCCCTCGCTGCACTGTGACTCATCCTCAAGAAAGCTTATCCAGGCGCACTCAACAACTTACTCTCGAGGTTCTGAGGTTAGGAAAGAAGCTGCAGAGGTCCTTTCAGATCAAGACTCAGAAACCACACGTTGCCATGTTGGCCTTATTCTGTTGGTTAAAGTGAACCATAAGGTCATCCAAACTCAAGAGGAGGAAGTAAACTCCACCTCAAGATGGAAAGAGTATCTAAATCCCATGGACAGGGCACCTGCATCTAGATTTGGGGAAAATCTTCATGGCTGTCTTTGCAAATAGTTCACCACACATACCAAGATGTAATGGGTCTTTCTGACGCCTTGGCATGTCTTGGAGTAGACACAGTCTGTGCTGTGGGAATTTTGTGCAGTGGGTGAAAGAAACTTTTTTTCTTTAAATTTTTTTTGTTTTTAAAAACAGCCTACTGATCCAAATAGGGGCTGGATCATAAGCCCACTGGGAGAAAATCCTTGGTGGACCTTATTAATAGCTGCCATCCCGGCCCTGCTTTGCACCATTCTCATCTTCATGGATCAGCAGATTACAGCTGTCATCATAAACAGAAAGGAGCACAAATTGAAGGTAACTTTGAAATTCTGTCTCAAGTATTCTAATTTCTTCAAGTTTTTGGAGCGTTTTCATAATGACTGAAACATTAAAAGATGTAAGGTGAAAGTGAATTTCTTCTTTCTTTATAAGCAGTGTAGAATTTTAGCCTAAAAGGACAATTGAGGCTTGTGAATATTCACATTCGTTTCATTTTCCAGAAAGGAGCTGGCTACCACCTGGACCTGTTCGTGGTTGGTGTTATGCTGGGAGTCTGCTCTGTCATGGGACTTCCGTGGTTTGTGGCTGCGACGGTGTTGTCCATAAGTCACGTCAACAGCTTAAAACTTGAATCTGAGTGCTCTGCTCCAGGGGAACAACCCAAGTTTTTGGGAATTCGTGAACAGCGGGTCACAGGGCTAATAATTTTTATTCTAATGGGCCTGTCTGTGTTTATGACTTCAGTACTAAAGGTAAAATCCCATTATTGCAATCAAATTTATACTTGGTTGAATAGAAATAAAATGTTAAGATACCTAAATTAGTTTTATTGCCTAGACTTAGAAAATAATATTTTGGGCCCTGGCTGGAGTAGCTCAGTGGATTGAGCGCGGGCTGTGAACCAAAGCATCGCAGGTTCGATTCCCAGTCAGGGCACATGCCTGGGTTGCAGGCCACGGCCCCTAGCAACCGCACATTGATGCCTCTCTCTCTCTCTCTCTCTCTCTCTCCCCCCTCCCCCCCTTCCCTCTCTAACAATAAATAAATAAAATCTTAAAAAAAAAGAAAGAAAATAATATTACAGTATGGTGTTTAGTGTAGTAGGCATTTAAATACAACATTAGATGTATCCATTAAAAATTTTTTTAGAGGATAGTATTAAAAACTATAGAGTTTTGGAAGGAATTAATCCATGCCTTAGTTAATGATCTAAGAATATGTGTGTGTGTGTGTGTGTGTGTGTGTGTGTGTGTGTGTGTACACAGAGGATTTTATAAGGATAATTACAAAAAGTATTGAAAAATAGATGAAACTGAGTTATTTGACTAAAATGTAAAAATGATATTGCTATTAATTAAATCAATGCATTCTTCCTAGTAAACTAAATGAAACAAAAGTAGTAGCACTCAGTAGGAAAACATAAACAACTAATATTATAAATGAAGCATGTAAGAAATTACACTTTATATTTAACATCTTTTAGTCTCATCTGCTTTTTGCTGTACACATCCTACTGCATTTTGTGATTAAGAAAATTAACAATAACTGTAGCAAACATGGCCGAAGTATCTAATCTGAAACTTTCTGTTTATCCTGGAGGAGCTCAACTGCATTTTTCCCTTGGTGCTTTATTATTTTTGTTGGTAACAACATTACTAAGTAAAGAGTTGTATACCATTTAGAAACTTAGGATACAAGCTTGGAGTATCTGTATGTGTGTGTGTATGTATATTATGAAGTAACTAAACAAATCATAGTCAAATATTAGAATTTCTGGCCTCTTTCCATAGACTTTTAGCAGCTAATTAATTCTCCAAGTATTTGTTGAGTACTTACTGTTCTGTCGGGCTCTAGGGAAACAATAATAAATAGGATGCATTACTGTCTCCTTTTAAGAACTTAGTGGTCTTGTTGGTGAAACGGAGGTAAATGGGCAATTACTGCATCGTGGTGAGTGTGTTGTGAGAAGTGCTTGGGATGGGAGGAAAAATACGCACTCTTAGGAGGATGCTGTCCCCTGTGGACAAAGGTTGCCCTTTAACTTTGTAAAGTTTTAAACTGGTTTTGACAGTAACTGCATATAGGTAGGAAAAATCAGGGAGACCGTCAAGAAAGCTCTGAAATGAAAAGCTAGTCTCTCCCTGTTGTTCTTCACTTTCTGAAAGCAACTATTCAGAGGTAAACGGTTTTTACTTTTTTTGTCTTTTTAAGTTATTTTGGTGGTTACCACAATTACATATACATTCATAATTTTATTTTTCACTGTATTATCTGTAGACTGGAAATCTTTACCAAAAACAGTAATTTCCAAAGTCTAGTCCAAGGACCTCCGGGAGTTCCTGACACCCTGTCAGGGGCCTGCCGTATCCTCCTTTTTCCAGTCGTGTAACTGAATGAGGCTGGATTTCCTTCATGTACTTCAGCCAGGAAAACCCATTGTAGCAGACTGAATGTACATACAGAGAGGAGAGTTTGGTTGTCTCTGTTAAGCCACCTGCTAAAGAGATTTACAGAAAAACAAACAATGCTACCTTTCTCATTTTTTAATATCACTTGATTGTTTTTTGGAAAGTATACTTTTCCATAAAAATGTTAGTTTGTATTGGGTTTTGTATTTTAAAATGATTTAAAAATAACTATTTAAAATTTTCTTTTAATTTCTAATATGGTGACTATCTCTCACATGTGTATATGTATACAGTGTGAATATCAGTATCTTTCATTTTCAGGGGCTTTTTTCATTCTGTTTATTCACTTTTCTTAGCATTCTAAAGTTGCTTTTTGGATAAAAATATTTTCTTGAAATTTCCTAGTTATATTGATTAGGTTTTTAACATTATTTTCTCTTCCCTGGTTACCCTTTTAGGAAGGACATAGTAGATTGTTTGGTAGAGATTCCTCTGTAGCTCTCCCTTGCGGGGGCGGGGGGCGGGGGTGGCGGAGAGGAGAGTGCTGACTGTGGTTTTTGAGTAAATGGATGGGGTCTATTGATAGCTTTCTTGTAGGATTCCTGGGTGTGGACTAGGTAGGCAGTTTGGGGTCCTCCTAATTGCCAAAGTTATAAAAACTTTCTTTTGGGAGTGGGATTCAATTGTTATATTCAGTAAATGATACTGTGTAAAAGTCACAGTAGGGTAGTGATAGTAAGCAATAATGGCTAATGCTGTTTGAGTCATTGATACAGTATTTTATCTATTTGAGTCCTTTAATTTTCATTGCGTTCAGATATAGGAGACTAAAGCACAGAGAAGTAAAGGCTGAGTAAGAAGCTAACTGGGTCTTTAAAACAAACACTCTGATTGTTATGCTCAATTGTTTGACCACTGAACGTGTGGCCCTCCTCCCCTGTAGGAAGGAACCTGTATTTAGAAGATAAACACTTTCCAAGGAGGTTATTACTGACTAACATTTCTTTTATTCATAGAAAAGTTAGATCTCATTACTGAAAGGTCATTTAATTCTGTCTCAAGAGATATTCACTGACCGTGTTTTTGTGTATTTATTACTCTGAAGTTGTCTCAGTAGCATGGGTTCTGACTGTGGTCATTTTACTTACAGTTTATTCCAATGCCTGTTCTCTATGGTGTTTTCCTTTATATGGGAGTTTCTTCATTAAAAGGAATCCAGGTAAGTCTTAGCTATTTAATGGTTTTCTAGAAACACTTAATTTTTTAATGTGCAAAGATTATTTTTATGATGGTAGTGATTTATTCTCAACTCTTATATTTTGAGGGCAGGTTAACTGGTGACTTCAAATCCCCATTTTCTGAGTGATTATTGGCTGCACATTTTTTCCCTGAGAATGAGACCATGAACTGATAAGGTCCCACTTATTTTGAATTAAAGACATTGAAAGGCCCTCTGTCATTAAAAACTGGTGTAGTATGAGGGAAGATCCAAAGGACTGGAATGAGAAAAATTATGTCTCTGACATGCCAGATACCAACTTCAGTGCTTAAAATAAAAAGGTAGATATTAGTTTTCCATAAAAACGGTAGTACCTGGCATTTGTATGGTACAATCCAGTTTACAAAGCTAGTAACAGAATTTTTTTTTCTGTGATCCTCAAACAACACTGGGAGACAGGCAGGAAAGGAAGAAATACTAATTTTGTAAATCAGGAGGCAGAAATTCAGAGACTCGCTGAGAGTTCTTAATTAAGTAAGCAATGGAGCCAAGGCTGGAACCCAGTGATTTCACCACTCAGTTTTGACTTATTTCAAGTACTTCCTGGAAAACAACCTGATGAAATTTATTATGATTTGTATATCAATCCAATCTTAGTGTAATATGTTTAGTTTATAAAGCATGGTTAGTGCCATGTGACTGCCTCCCATAGTGAAAAGCATGTTGTCTAAAGCTGCCAGCTCTTGGCTGATAAGATTTCTCAGAGGCAGCACCTTAATTTTCTCGACACCACTGGTCAAGAAATGATCTCATTAATTCACTTTTACAATAATTTTATGAGGTCGGTGGGGCTGATCTCATTCCCAATTTATAAATGAGAAAATTAAAGTTCCAAAAGACCAAGGAATTTGCTCACAGTTTCCTTTTCAGTGGGTGAAAATTAGTAAGTTGTTACATGAGGTTATTCTCATGGAGTTGGTAATGCTGGCCGGAAAGAAGCTTGTAGGATTGTTACTCTTTGATTGTACGTATTAAAAGCGAGCTGACAGATTAAATGGCTCATGCATTTGAGTATAGAAGTCAAATTTACCTAAATATTTTAATCCCCTAAATTAAAGCATTTCTGAGTAAATTAATTGCATTAGTTCACGTGGTTGCCTTGATTTTTTTTTCCACCTTGGGTCCAGATGTTCTATACTGAAACATTCTCCTATACTATCAGAACACGTCAAGGAAGTTAAAGATTCAATTACAAAATTCTAAGTTTTGAATGTAATTTCTTTTCCTAGGTAGCAGAAATGATATTTTTGTTGAAAGTGTTTTCTCGTTTTTTTCATTCTGCACACAGTTTTTTGACCGTATAAAATTATTTGGCATGCCTGCTAAGCACCAGCCGGATCTGATATACCTCCGTTACGTGCCTCTCTGGAAGGTCCATATTTTCACCGTCATCCAGCTCACTTGTCTGGTTCTTCTGTGGGTAATAAAAGCTTCAGCTGCTGCAGTAGTTTTTCCCATGATGGTAAGTTTTTTTTTTCAGACCTTGACACTAATTAATAACATTTTTGTGTTTTTAATAGTAATTATTAATATTAACAATTGACTTTGAGAAAAGGAATAGCCCATTTTCAGCACCTCTGGTGTTTTGAAATATGAATTTGCCCTTTCTAGCTATTAAACTAGTCGTCTTCAAAAGTACATTTGCTGCTTATTTTCTACATTTTAGTTTTTTAGTCTTTGAGGTATAGAATACCATTTTGTACTTTTAAACAACTTTAGGGTTTGGGATATTTATGGAATAAATACAATAGCCAAGTGTAAAAAGCAAAGTAACCAGAACAGCTTGGTTCTTTAATAGGATATTTTAATGCATCCTTTTCAGAAATTAACAGATCTAGAAGTTAAAAAATACTAAAGATTATAAATGTATTATTAAAGCAATTAATATTATTCATTAAATTATTGAAGAATATTATATTTTGCAAATAGAAAATAGTCATCATTTTGTAAATACCATCTAAGATTGGTTATGTACATGGCCATAAAAAATCTCAGAATTAAAAAGCTATGAAGATTATACAGGTATTATTTCCTTGTCACAAATTAATTATGAATTAATGAAAAGCCACTGAAGTAATCTTAAGTACTTAAAAATTAAATGTTGAAATAATGTCTGAGTGGAAGACTGAGTATAAGACCATTGTGAGGTGTTGAAATGGAGAACTTGTAAACAATTCTGTGGGATGCGGCTAAAGATATGCTCAAAAGAAAACATATTCCCTTCATTGCTTTTATTGTGCAGGATTATTTAAAAATGAAACCTAGTTTTTTATTTGTAAAGATCAGTAATGGGTAAACTCCTCCCAAGCCAAAGTAAAGAAGAAAATGAGAGGGCACAATATACAAGAATAAGAAAGAGGAAAGATATATATATATATAACCACAGCTGTGGAATGGATTGGAGGGATTTTAAGAAATATTACATGAATCTATAGTAATAAATTTGATCATCTGAAGTGGAGATCGACAAACTTTTCTCCAAAAGGTCTGATAGTATTTTAGTGTTTGTAGGCCACAAGAATATTATACAGGCATTTACATAACAAGAAATTTCCACAGATTCTTACTGATGAAATTAAAAAATAATTGTACAATGCCCCTCCCCCCTTTGGGATAGTATTTCACTTAATTGGGGTTCAGAGGTAGTGCTCCTCATCATCGAATCAGTTCTGAGTGCTCGCCTGTACAAGCTGTTGTCGGCACACAGGTCAGACAGGTAGTGGGCTGGTTTTAACCCAGGGCTGTGGTCTGCCTATTCCTGATCCGGAGGAAATGGATTATTTCTGTACTATCCATACATTTCCAGAATTGATCCAGAAAGAAGTATAAAACATCTGGATATGTATAACTCAGTTTCATAAAAGATACTTGAAAAAAGGTTAAAAGATCAGCCCTTGGAGAACCTGGTCCAGATGGGTTAACTACTCAATTTAAAGGGCAGTTAATTCCAATACATTTTGAATTATTCTAGACCAAAGGAAAAGTTGGGAGCTTCTGCACTGTTTTCTAATGAAACACTAGCAACATTTTAATAGTAAAACCTAATAACATTGTATAAAAGCACTATGGTACCTTCTCACTAGTATAAATGTAGAAAATCTTAAAATATAAACATATAAATGAATATAGTGTTTCTATAAGTAATGTATCATGGTTAAATAGACAATTGTACTTCAGCATCAAGAATTATCAACATAATTAGAGATAAAATGGTTTTTAAAAATAAAGATCCTTCATTGCAAATAAAATTCATAAATGAGGTTTTAATTGAATTTATTGGTGACATCAGTTAGTACAAACATACAGGTTTCAAGTGTGCAACTCTATAACACGCTGTCTGCATACCACATCACGTGCTCACCACCCAAAGTCAGGTCGCTTTTCACCAACATCTGTCCCCCCATTTCCCTCTTCTACCCCCAAGCCCCCTTTCTCTCTGGTAATCACCATACTGTTGTCCATATCTTTGTGGTTTTTTTCTTTAAGAAGAAGAAAAAACACCATGTACATATTGTAAATATGTTTTAATACAGGGTAACCCACTATTACTGTTGTTTTTGTATATTGAAGTTTCTGTGACATAAGATAATATATTTGTTATAAAAGGAGATAACATTGTTTGTCAATAATGTGATTATGTGTCTATCAGTTCAAATGACTCAAACAAAAAGACTAAAAGCCCTAATAGAATTATTAAGAATTTTGTTAGGATGGCTAGATATTAGAACACATAATTAGTATATAAGCTATATCTTAATAATAATGCTAAAGATGGAAATGGAAAAAAATTATATTCACACTAGTGACCAAAGAGTATAAAATATTTAAGACCAAATTAAAAGGAAAGACCTGTGTATACAAAAACACATTATAATAACTTATATTAGTGTCTTGGGCCTGCTGTAACAAGGTGCCACAAACTCATTGGCTTAAAGCAACAGAAACTCATGTCTCCCAGCTCTGGAGGTGAGAGGTCAGGAATCGAGGTGTGGACATGCTCCTTCTGAAATGCGTGAGGGGCCTCCTTCTTTGTCTGGCCCTGGCTTATGGGGGTTTGTTGACAGATTTTGGTATTCCTTAGCCAGCAACTGCATACTTCTGTCTGCGTTCGTCATCTCGTGGTGCTCTCCCTGTGTGCCCCTGTGTCTTCACACGACCGTTTTATGAGGACACCAGACATATTTCACACCAGAGGAACACTACCTCAAAATAAAGCAATATTCTGAGTAACTAACGGGCTAGGGCTTAACTGTGTCTTTTCTGGGGGACACGATTCGGTCCATAACAATATGGAAGGACATAAAATTAAGATCTGAACTAATACAAAGATATACCATGTTTTTTGTTTTGCAGACTTAGTATTATAAAAGTGTCACTTCCAAATATGAAATCTACTCGAGTTTTTCTGCATGTGTGTTGTGTGTGTGTTGGGGGGGGTGGGTTTGGTGTCAGTGTGAACTACATCATTTTAAAGCTTATAGAGAAAAATAAATGCCAGAAACACAACATGGGTGGTAGAAATGTGCTGTATCTTGTTTGTGTGTGGGTTATGAGAGTATACACGTTTGTCAAAAGCATCACACTGTACACATGCTATTTTTCTATTTTACTGCATGTAAATTGTATGTTAATTTAAAAATAGTTATAAATACCAGAGAATAACAAAACAAAATAATTATAATTAAGAATTCCTGGCTTACTCTGGGGGTGAGTGAGGGACTTGATTATTTCTATGTTGGTACCATACTATTTTTATAACTAAATATATATATTTTTTGAAGATGTTATTTATTTATTTTTTAGAGAGGGAAGGGAGGGAGAAAGAGAGAGCGAGAAACATCAATGTGCAGTTGCTGGGGATCATGGCCTGCAACCCAGGCATGTACCCTGACGGGGAATCGAACCTGCGACACTTTGGTTCGCAGCCTGCACTCAATCCACTGAGCTACGCCAGCCAGGGCTAAATATTTTTAAATTGCTGTTAAATCACAATATGGAATTGACATAGAAATAGACTAATAGACATCTGAACTTAAGATTTAATGAGTTCAGAAGTTTATCAGAATATATGAGAATTTGTCACTTGAATACCATGCCATAAATAATTTCAGTAAAGGTGGTGATTCATTTATGTGGGAAAATTTGACTGTATACTTGGAGCTAAATAAGGTTGCTTTCCCTATGTGATACTATATTCAGAAAGAATGAATTCAGGATTTAAATGTTAAATTGTAGTAGAACATTTTGAAGACTATTCATTATAACCCAATAATTGAGGGCAGCTTTTTAAAAATATATTTTAATTGATTATGCTATTACAGTTGTCTCAACATTTCCCCCTTTGCCTCCTCCATCCAGTACCCTCCATTCCCCCTGGCAGTTGCCTTCTCCCCGCTTAGTTCATGTCCATGGGTCATGCGTATAAGTTGTTTGGCTACTCCATTTCCTATACTGTTCTTAACACCCCCCTGACTATTCTGTACTTGTTAATCCCTGCATCTTTTCCCCCATTCTCTGTCTCCCTCCCAGCTGGTAACAGTCCCGATGATCTCCATACCTGTGATTCTGTTTCTGTTCTGCTTGTTTGCTCAGTTTGTTTATCGGATTTAATTGTTGACAGTTGTGAATTTATTGCCATTTTAACATTCGTAATTTTGATCTTCATCTTTTTAAGTCCCTTTAACATTTCATATAATAATGGCTTGGTGATAATGAACTGCTTCAGCTTCACCTTGTTTGGGAAGCACTTGATCTGCTCTTCCATTCTATGATAGCTTTTCTGGATAGAGTAATCTAGGTTGTAGGTTCTTGCCTTTTACTACTTTGAACACTTCTTGCCAGTCCCGTCTAGGCTATGAGTTTCTTTTGAGAAATCAGCTGACTGTCTTATGGGAACTCCTTTGTAGGTAACTCTCTGCTTTTTCTCTTGCTGCTTTTGAGATTCTCTCTTTATCTTTAACCTTTGGCATTTTAATTATAAGTCTTGGTGCGGGCCTCTTTGCATCCATCTTGTTTGGGATTCTCTGTGCTTCCTGGACTTGTTGTATGTCTATTTCTTCCACCAAATTAGGGAAGTTTTCTTTCATTAATTTTTCAAATAAGTTTTCAGTTTATTGCTCTTTCTCTTCCTTCCAAATAATTCAAATGTTGGTACGTTTGAAGTTGTCCCAGAGGCTGCTTACCCTGTCCTCATTTTTTAAAAAACTTTTTTTCTTATTGCTGTTTTGATGGAATTTTTTTCATCTTTGTGTTCCAAAACATTGATTTGATTCTCTTCTTCATCCACTCCACTGTTGTTTCCCTGTAAATTTTTCTTTATTTCACTTAGTGTAACCTTCATTTCTGCCTAAGTCTTTTGTATGCTGTTGAAGTACCCAGTGAATTCCCTGAACATCCTAATAACCAGTGTTTTGAACTCTGCATCTGGTAAATTGCTTATCTCCATTTTGTTTAGTTTCTTTTTTTGAGTTTTGTCCTGTTCTTTCATTTGGGCCGTATTTCTTTGTCTCCTCATTTGGACAGCCTCCCTGTGTTGGTTTCTATGTATTAGGTAGAGCAGCTTTGACTTCCCATCTCAGTAGCGTGGCCTACGTAGAAAAGCTCACTGGTGAGTTGGATAGGGCAGAGCCTTAGGTAGTCATCAGGGCGGGGAAGACCATGTGAATCAGGTTGATGGAGTCTCTGATCAGGTGTCTCCACTTTGTGACTGTGTGTGGGGGAGGGCTCAGGAAAGGAACAATGGCCACTGCCTGGCCTCTGGAGTTTTGTCCAGGAGGGAGCTGTCCCCTGACACTCTCCCTGAGGCCAGACACTTCATTTCTCCACATATGCCACTGGTATCCTCCAAGCTGCTGCCTTGGTGCTGGAGCCCAGGGGGAGTGAATTTTAAATCCCGAGTCCATTGCAGACCTTTTAAGAGGAGACACCTGAGAATCCCCCAGTTTCTTCTGCAACCTGAACCCCCACTGGTTTTTATATTCAAACGTTATGGGGATTTACCGTCTTGGCACTGGAACCCCTGGGCTGGGGGATCTGGTGTGCTATGGCTCACTCACTCCTGAGATAACCCTCCTGATTTTTATCCACCACACCTGGGTGTGGGACCGCTCATTCCGCATCTCCGCCCCTCTTACCCATTTGAGTGAATGTGACTTCTTCTGTGGTTGTCTGACTTTCATACGGCTCGATTTTCTGACAGTTTTGAGTGGTAATTGTTTTGTATTTTAGTTGTAATTTTTGGTGTGATTGTGTGAGGAGGGCAGCTGTGTTTTCCTATGCCTCCATCTTGACAGGAAGTTCTGAGGGTAACTTTTCAAAGAAGATAGGGAAACCCAACTGTAAAAGAAAGAGATATATTTGACCACATAATAATTAAACATTTATATGTCTGTGGTAAAATCAGATTGTGAAACTAGGAGAAAATATTTGTAACATACAAGGCAGAGACTGTGTTTCTATCCATACTACACAGAACTCTTATGCATTCATGGACAAGTTATAAAAACCAATTGCAAAACAGGCAAAGGATAGGAAATAGAAAAAAAGGACATCCAGATTGCCAGTGAACATTTGAGAACATCTTTAACCTTAGTAACAGTAAAAGAAAAGAAGATTTAAGTAAAAACATACCTTTTCCACAAATATATATGATTTGAATCTAATGCTGGAAAATGGACTCTAATGCATTGCTCTAAAGGTTTTTTGTTATTATCTGTATTTATATAATGCACATAATGCAAAGTCATAATAAAAGTTAACCTTTTCTTACTGTGAAGACACCATGCTTAAACTGCTTTGTAAGTTTATGCAGAGTACAAATGATTTATGTAAGAAAGGTTAAAGATGCCTTCTTTTCTTTGAGCAGAAAGTTCTGTTCAGTTCTGAGGTGACTCAGTTCTTTGAAATAAGATGGTGCATGAAATCATATTAAAATAAAATATATAAAGTACTTATTTATGGTTAATAGATACTTTTCTGTCTATAGGTGATAACAATGTATATGTTTTTAGATGTTACTTAATATTCTCTGTCTCTCACTTTTTAAGGTTCTTGCATTAGTGTTTATACGGAAACTGATGGATCTGTGTTTCACAAAGAGAGAACTTAGTTGGCTTGATGATCTTATGCCAGAAAGTAAGAAAAAGAAAGAAGATGACAAAAAGAAAAAAGAGAAAGAGGTAACAACACAAGAATTTTAAATTTACACCAATCACTTGGTTAATATTTTATACCAAGAAGCAGGCAATATTACAGTCACTTTATGGGAATTAACTCCTTTAATACCTCCTGAGAACCTTACTGTTATAAAGTATAGTTTACAAGGAAGGACACTGAGGCAGAGAGAAGTTAGTAGGGCCCTTGTCTCAGATATGGTTTTTACCCATTTTACCAGCTTGCTTCATCCATACTTTTGAAACAAAAATATTTTTTTAAAAAACTACATATCATGTATATATTTAATTTCTGCTCAGGGCAATTTAGCAATAAGAAAATATAAGTAATACAGAGTGAATTCTACATCATACTCTAAATCTAACTTAACCTTATATACAGAGTTATATTTTAGGATACACTTTAGTTTTAACAGCATTTTAATAATCTGTCATACATAATGACAAAATGACTTTTAAGTAAACATCTTTTGACAAAATAAAACTTTAGTCTTTATCTGTTAACTTGTAACACGGAAGTTGATTTGAAATGTTCTGGGGAAAGTGATCTGTGTGTGTGTGTGTGTGTGTGTGTGTCCTCCAAAGGAAGCCGAACGAATGCTTCGAGCTGATGACGAAACTGTGCACCTTCCATTTGAAGGGGGGAGTCTCTTGCAAATTCCGGTGAAGGCCCTAAAATATAGGTGAGTTACAACTTTATCCTCTAAGATGTGTTTTACATACATGTCAGCTGCATGAATAAGCTATGTGATGCTTAAAGGGCAACAAAACCTGCGTCTGGCATAGCAGCCAAAGGAGGGCATTGGGCACTTCGACACCTTCCGCTCGCAGGTTTTAGGCAGGGGTGAAGAAGAAGCTGCACTTGAACCAGAGCCTTAAATTTCAGAGCCAAGCAGACAATATTTACTTGTTTTTTCATCACTCTTTCCATTTCAGTGAAGTTTAAGGTCAATGCACAAGTCTCTGAATATTCCCATCCTCTCAGCAGCGCAGCTGGGCTGAGCAGCAAACATCTGCAATCCATTTTCTAACAACCTTCCAATGTGCAACTCTGTTCAGAGGCTCAGGAATGCTCCTAGTTTCCGAAGGTGTGATCTGACCATTGTCAGTGAAGGCTCATATTATGGAAAAATAATTGTTTCTTTTAGCACTTGTCCTGTATGCTTTTGGTGGTTTATTTTTAAATTTAAGTACTAAAGGTAGAGGTTGGGAAATGTGAATTTTTTTTGCAGTTTGAAAAGATTAAAACCCTACAGTATTTATGCACACTTCCATTTCTGATTAGCTATTTATAACAGAGAAATTAGTATATAGGTTTCTTCCCTGACCAGTTAATGAAAAGTGTTTGTTGGTATCTAATTAATTTGCTTCAGCCTTTCTTTACTTTTAACAAGTCTTGATAGTTTTTACAGAGGTCACATTTGTATTTGTACATGTTGATGAGTTTTGATAAATGAGTTTATTAAGTAATTTTTCTTTGTGAATTTTACTATTGATTCTTAAAGTTGGTATTGCTCCATGCCACCTTTCAACATGTTCCCTCAAATCTTTATGCGCTTTACATGCCACATATACATCTTAATGATCCAGCAGCAGTGTTTACTAGATTCTGTGAAGGTTTGTTAAATGAATTAATATATTGACTTTGTTGGTTGTATCGTACTTCTAAAAAGAATTAGGGAACTGTCATGATGGTTATTAGCGACACTGACAACTTTGTGGGGATTATTTACCACTTAATTTCCATTGGTCCTGCACTAGCACTTTCTCAGTGTGATTAGACATGCTGAATCTGGTGGAGTTTGTAGTTAACACAGATACTTAACAAAGAGAATGGTTGCGTATTTGCTTTTATTTTTTAAGTGATGACATGAACCATGATTAACGCTGCTTAGCTTAAAATTTGAACATCAAGAATTCCAGGAATTGGCTGGCCTATTTATCTGCCAGAATTTTAAATATTAACTAGCTTTGGATTACTTGCCATGGGCATCAATGAGATAATATATGACAGCATTTAGAAACTGTAAGGCCCAATAAAATGTGAAAATAATTTCTTTAATGCAAGAACAACTTTTTCCCATCTAGTTTTGGGGGAGAACAAAATGAATACTTTATTCAGGAAAATCTTATTGTCTACTAGTGGGAAAGTTATTACTTAAAGGAGGACATTTAATTTTTTTTCTTTTTGAGGTTTATTTATTTATTTTTAGAGAGAGGAGAAGGGAGGGAGAAAGAGAGGAAGAGAAACATCGATGTGTGAGAGAAACATCAATCAGTTGCCTCTCACACACCACTAACCAGGGACCCGGCCCGCAACCCAGGCATGTGCCCTGACCGGGAATCGAACTGGCAACCCTTTGGTTCACAGCCTGCGCTCAATCCACTGAGCTACACTAGCCAGGGCTAAAGGAGGACATGTACAAGCTAAAAAGTGATTCAAAATTTTTTCTCTTCAGTCATTTGAAGTTGGCAAGCAAGCAAAGAAACATTTACTCAGATTAGGCAGTTTCAAGTTGTATGGTTGTGCTGCCATGAATTTGGGCATTCAGATTTTGTGCACTTTTAAAAAATTGACCTATGAAGCAGCCATTCCTAGAGACTCTACAATAATCGTGTCACACTTTTTTAGTCTTAAATTTTAAATGATACTTGGATTTAAAGAATGCAACGAAGCTAGCACCTTCTAAATGACTGTTTGGTCATTCATAACCTAGCTGCGGTCACATTGGTAACATCTAACCTGACATTTCTAGTTTTTGTGTTTTTTTTTTGCATGAAATGTTTTTCTTTGGCGAAGAAAGAGAGCTTGAAAATGTTTCCAGTAACTGCATAGTGCTTTCGTATTGCTCATGACTGACAGCCTTGAGCCCATAGTGGTTTCTGTATATCAATCATCATTGTTGGGTTTGGGGTCTTGAAGTAATGTTTGCAGTATTTCATAGAGACACAGAGACATTTGTTCCTTATAGTGAAAAGAGACAGTATTTCATTCTTTTGATTAATTTGATTTAAAACTTTGATGCCAAAAATGTGAATGCCAGCAAAAATCAGTATTTATACACCTGTTTTTGTGTTAACTATTGAAATATTTCAGAGTTCTGTTTTCAGTTTTAAAGGGTCACCTTTCATATAATTCTTTTTAATGTTTTTAAGAGCTTTAAAAAGCAAGTATTTTTTAACCAAAATCTTAATTTTTCTTCTCTACTTTGGATAGTTATTTAATGAGATCAAAGTTCATGCCAATTATAAAAGTTTTCTAATTGACTTAGCAGCATTATTTTCAGAAGCACGTTAATATAGTCTTTTATGTTATTTCAATAGTATACTTAGAGCCAAGGTGATCATCTTTGGGTATCATTACCAATTTAATTAATCTTACTCCTAGTTTTGGTTATAAAGAGAGATGCATTTCCTCACAAGACCTTGTAACAGAACTCCAATATTCTGGTATCTTGCTAGTCCTTGGTTTATGTGCATAGCAAAGAGTTTTCTCACTTTTAAGTTGATGAAAGCAAGTATTACATAGGTAATAAGAATGACGTGATTAATGCTTTTGCAAGTACTGAACACTAACCAAAAAGTGTGTTTGTTCTTCAGTGTTGATCCCTCAGTGGTTAACATATCAGATGAAATGGCCAAAACTGCCCAGTGGAAGGCACTTTCCATGAACACTGAGAATGCCCGAGTAACCAGACCTAACACGAGGTAGCCAATTTTCGATGTACTTCTGGATAGCTGTTCAGTAAAATCAGTACATGTAACCTACTTTACATAATTTATATTCTCCTTGCTTAAAACCAACTTTTCCTCCTTTTCCTTCCCTTTTTCTTTCATTTGCTTATCAATTATTTTTCTGGATACTGGAATTAGATAGATACTGATGGTTTTATATTTTAAAATATGTTGTTTTCTATTTCAAAAAATGTGAGCTATTTTTCAATAAAGATGAATATATACCTATGGAAGTCTGGAATAGAAAGACAGATCAGGAACCATATAAAGAAAGATAATTACTAGGGATTAAGTACATTCTGTAACTGGACTCCCTACCTCAGTTCTGCCCTCTGGGGGTCCAGGAAAAACATGGTTGTTTTGTTTTGTTTTGTTTTGTTTTGTTTTAGCTTATAATTTCTTTAGTTGAGGTATTTTTATTGAAGATATTTGGAAGAAATTTAATCCGTGGATATAAAGGTCATTCGGTTTCATGATGGTCCCATATATCACCTTTTTCATAACCCCTTTCTTCTGTTTTTTGTTTTGTGACCCTTTTTTTATGTCATGGCCTGAACCTCGGGGATTCCAGTGTGCTAATTATTAGCACTTTCATCCCTCAGGTCTCTGGAGAAATGAGGTAGAATCTTGTTGGGTACTCAGTCATTTCTTTTTAACAAATATTTATTTCATGTATACTTTGTTCCTGAAACTATGTTGAGGGTCAGTATACTCTGCTTGGGCATCAGATGCAAACTTTTCCAGGCAGGCAGTCACATAGCTGTTTCTGTTGACTTACTGTCTTTCTGGCCACCGTCTTTCCATGATAATTGATTAGGTTTTTCTTCATTCTTTCCCTCCCTCCTTTTCGAAACTCGCTCCTACTTAATCTCTATCATTTTTTAAATAACTATCATTTCTTGAGTTCTAATTTCTAACCTGTTTCCTTTATTCACTTCTGTCTTAGATCTAAAAGTTTTTAAGGTTATGTCTTTGTCATTTTGGGTTATTTCATGCAGCCAGAATTTCACTAAGTACTCTTACTCTTAATTTTGTCCTTCATTAGCACTCCTGGTCCAGATGGTTGGGATAGCTATGATATACATCTTACAATAATATTACAGTATTCTTATACTTCTGTGTCTCATTTCAGTTGTCTATCTATTCAAAATCACATGGGAAGAAGGAGAATGTTTGGGTTATGTTTTTTTTTAAAAGATTTTATTTATTTATTTTTAGAGAGGGAAGGGAGGGAGAAAGAGAGAGAGAGAGAGAGAGAGAAACATCAATGTGCGGTTGCTGGGGGTTATGGCCTGCAACCCAGGCATCTGCCCTGACTGGGAATCGAACCTGCGACACTTTGGTTCTCAGCCCGAGCTCAATCCACTGAGCTACGCCAGCCAGGGCTTGGGTTATGTTGTTTAACAGAAAAATGTCTTCAGTTTTGTTTGCAGAAGGCAGCAGAACACAGTGTGCTTGTGTACTTCAGAAGCACTTTCAAAGCTCAGATATTCATGTGCTACATTCAGTCAGTCAGTTAGGGCCATAGGCATGGAGTGACTGCATTTGATACTAACTTCAAAAATAGAGAATCTGTGTTCTTACATTTGTGAACCAAATTTGGGGAAAGTTGATAATTTGTTATATTTTTAAGAAATTTATTTGATGCTTACCTGTATTAGTAAAGATTAATTTTTAATGGATTTGTCAGTAAAATGAGAGTCCAGGGCTATAACTATTCTTATATTAAGTAAAACTAATAAATCAAACATAATCATATACTAACCAGTTGGAGAAAATTTCTCAGTTGTAAGAAAAACATGAACTTCAGTGAGAAAAATCTACTATAAAACTAAGAATTTTAGTATTTGCCTTTCCAATTAAGTTTACTGATAAGAAAAGAAAGCAGTAAAACGATAATAGCAGGACATTTATACTATTATTAATAGTCATCTGAAGGGCTTATTACGAATACTTATTTTTGGCCATGTTTAGCCAATTTAATATGTTCATTTCGAAAATCACTTATTCTCATTCTTTGTTTTTAATAGCCCTGAAAAACCTGTGAGTGTGAAAATAAATATTGAAGATGAAGAAACGAAGAAATATATGGATGCTGAAACTTCGCTATAGAATTGAACCAAGAGGAATTATATATATATACACACCACACAGATACATATATATAATGTGTGTATTTCATGTCACTATGTATAACAATATTGTATGTCATGCTATTTATGCATGACCACAGGGTTTTTAAAGTAGTGTCTAAAGTTTGTTGGGAGCATCATGGAGAATGTGTATAAAATAGAATGGTCTTTTAGGAGTGAGGTACATGGTTCTTATTTTTCAAATATTTATTCTGTTGAAAAATTTTTCCTTTTCTGCAATAGGAAGATGTGGGGAAATGTATTCAGTGTAGTTTAAATCTATTTGTTTATCAGTGACAATTCATAACAACCTTAAGTGATACTTTGTCCATATATGATTTTAACTTGAGTTACTAAAGTTTTTCACATATTATTTTACTTCTGTTAGAGCTTTTTGGGAAGAACAGGGAGTCTTGATGCCAATGCTGTGGAACAGATAGTAACATGTGGCTTCTGTGTGTGTGTGTGTGTGTGTGTGTGTGTGTGTGTGCGCGTTTCATTTATGTAGATGTCCATCGTGTTTCACAAGCTATAGGAACTTTTTCGTTATAGAGCTACAACAACGGAATCTTTTTAGTTAGGAACTATAGTTTTGACCTATTTGCTTTAGAAATTTATTTTAAATCTTAAGACCTCCACATTTTAGTTTCCATTCAGATGGACAAGTAGAACTGCAGATGATATATAATGTAACCCCCCACACCAGTCATAATTTTAGGAGCTACACAGTGCCATTACAGTAAATTTTGTTGCCTTTGCAGAAATTTTTTTCTGAATTCTACACTTCATTAGAGCCCAAAATGCTAACTCTGTTCTCTGCCTTTGCTGTTCTTTTACTTAAAATATAGTTTAGTTTGTATCAGGTTTAAGGTTTTGATTATTTTTCTATTATAAATAGTACAATTAATCAGGAGTCAGAATTCTCTTAAATGGGTGTATGATCAGTATTACTTTATTCTAGTAGGAATTACCTTTCATTTTCTGTTTATGTTCTTTCTGTTGTATAGATAATATTTAATAGATTGTTATCTGTGATTTGATTTTAAAATATTTTATTTATTTTAATTGATATGATGCTTAAGTGTTATAGGAACATTTGAAAAGGTAACAGATATAGAGTAAGTTAATGTAAATAGTTGGTGCTCATTTGCATTTACAGTTGATTATCTGAAACAGTTGACAGATTTTCCATCTTTATATAAAGCACTGCCATATTTGTATTTTAAAAGGAATTGAGACATTTTATGTATAGCTCAGATTGATGGCTTTCTATTGTGTGTATTTGTTATTTAGTTTTTGCTTTTCTGAGCTGTCTTCTAGCCAGCAGATCTTTTTAGTCATCTTTTATATACTCTTAGCTCCGCGTTAAATAAATAGATGTTCCTGTTAAGCCTGTAGGACTGGATGAATGGGGTTGTGAAACTAAGTTGGCAAGAGGCTAGTTTACCGACAAAGACCTGAGTGTTGAGAAGCCACCAGGATATTGAAAATAGTGACATGAATATTAGGATGAAGATATTAATGAAATTACAGGGCTGCCTTTAATCATTTGTAATTTAAGTATAGAAGTATGAAGAATGATCTTGTAGAGGAGCGTGAGAAATGCCAAACGCTGATATTGTAGCAATTCTGAATGTTTTTAATTCATTCTAAAATACTTAAGAATTAATGTAATTTCCCCAGCTGAGACCATATTATCAGATTCTAATTTAAGTAACGGATTTAACTTATATCTCAGATGGGAGGTTGCAAATGTGGCCACTTTTAGGGAGAAAAGGTAGCTGGTATCATTTGGTACTGCCTAAAAAAGAGACTCTATTGACAATTGATAATAGAGTATTTATTACCCACGGTGCTTGTTATTGTTTTTGAGCTTCCATTGAAGCGATTCCTTTTTATTCATAGCAGCATAATCATTTCCAAAGACCCCAGTATTTGCTGCTATGTTTTGTAAACTCCCCTGATGTACCTGAACAGGAGGATTTCCTCACATAATTTCCTTGTGTCTGGACATCACAGGGTTATTAACAAATTTGCTTATTTTATAGAAAGTGATTTTAAAATTTAAACCGAAAACTACCTGGGATCATAGTGTTTCTGTGATTTTATTTAATTATGTATAGTGATTGTCCAGTGCCAGAAAAACCACAACTTGCAAAATACTTTGCACTCAAAATGTTTGTAGTATATTTCTAATTTGTTTAATGGTTTCTGTTTCCTTTTGACTACTTGACTTACAAAATGATTTGATATGACTACTCCATTGAAGAGCGAAGGTAACTCATGTTTAAGTAATTAACTGCTTGTTTTATATGGTTATGCTGTTGTTCCACTGTTTTTGAAAAATAACAATCATGGATAGCATTGACTGCAAGACAGTGAAAAATGTAATTTACTACATATATTGATTCTTAAATGTTGCCTTAAATACTCGTGGGTGGAAATGAGCAGTAGTAATTGCTGTGTACTGATTTACCTCAAGGTGCAAAATAATTAAACCTGTACATATTCCATTTACAAAATAAATTCATATAAACAGCCCTGCACTTTCTTAGATGCCTTGGTTTCCAGGATGGAGCTTAGTGCTACTGAATACCCTGGCCCCAGAGCCATCTCAGGATATTCTTCTCTCCACCCTATTTTATTTATTTATAGATGTCTGTTTACAAAGACTACAATGAATACTGATGTAGACCATCTGAAATTTACTTTTCTTTGGAATGCTATTTCACTCTAAAATAGCAGCTTTTGAGAAAACAATGAACTAACTTCCTTATGATAAAAGGATGATTCTGTACATTCTCTAATAATATTGGATATGCCGAAGTGAAGCGCACAGCCATTCTAATGGGTGTGTGCGTAAATGATTTATCAAATCATAAATCTCCTAAGTTGTGTAAAAGAGCTGTGGCGTATCAATGTTCACATTTGCCAAGTCTCCTGTAACACATGTGGGACAGCTTTGTTTATGTCCTAATGCATGTATTATAGAGATTTCTTTACCACTTAACTTTTGTTTTTTCATCCAAAAACATTTCTTTTTCTTTCACATACTTAAAATTTATGTATGTATATAATAGCTTTCTAACTTTTTCCTTTTACAAGGACAGGCTCAAAATTCTGTAAAAAAAATGGTTTCTGAAACTGAGGTATGATACCAGAGCTTACTGTATTTTTAAGGATTATGTCATGTACATCGGTTCTGTAAATGTGCTCAAGAGCTTTACCTGTGAATCCTGTTTCAAGTGCTCAGATTTCAGATGTACAAGCCATTGCTTAGAACATTGTAATTCAAACATGTTTAATTTAATGTGTTAAAGTTATTTATGTAGATCACACCATTGTTATTGTGTGCAGTACAAGTATGTGAAATGTCTTTTGGTTTAGTCCGACAATTATTTATTTTTTAGAAAGTAAATTTAAAGACTTTAAGGACATTCAAAATTTAAAATAGTTCAGAATTAAAAATTTGGCAGTTTAAAGTTTTTTTTTAACTTTTCAAAAGGTAATGTATCAGTAATAGGAAAACATATACTTGGAATCATCTAAAGATCATTTTAAACGTTTAATTTAATCAGCACATAGTGACTTCTACAGTTGACTTAGAGTAATTGTTAAACCCCAGTTGTTTTTAAATCAGATTTCTGTGCATTGATTGATTTTTGTGTTGTGGCTTTTCTTTTGTTGCTTTAATAATAAAAGGTTTCTGTTTTCTATATAGGGGGTTATCTTCCAATGTTTACTATGTTTAAATAAATAGAAATTGAATTTTATTGTTCATTTATATAATATTTGATAGCTTGGTATAATTTCACAGTACAATTCTAATTTTTATGACTTTTATAATTATAATGATAATATTTTCTTTTGTAATAAAATCCAAAGTAAATTAAACATTTAAAATGTACAACTGATATTTTTCATTTATATGAAGTACAAGTCTCTACCGCGTCTATAATGTGAACGATCCTGCCTTTTAAATTTGTTTTATAATTGTTAGAAGAAAACTATTTTTTGGAGATGTTACTGAAGTTGAAAGAGCAATAAAAGTCTACTGAATTAGTCGCTGGGGAGCCTTTCCTTTGTGCTTTGATCATTGGAAGAGCTGCTTATCTTTCTCACGAGAAGGGGCAGGGGATGGAGGAATAGAAGTGATTTCCATGTCCTGCTTCCTGATACTCACATGCTTCAATAAGCAGGAGAGAGAAAAGAACGGAGGAGATGAAGAAACAGAGTAGCGTGTATTCACGACTTTTCAATAATTATGAGATATTGAAATTAAAGTCCTGTCAGATGGGCTGGACTGTTATTTTCCCTGTTTTAAGACACATCTGTGTAAAGTGGAATTTGCAGAGTGATGCGTAATGAGCACACATCACTTTGCATGATGTGTGATAACCATGTTCATGCAGAACTCTCACATCTCAAGACTTGTTTTCTATGATTTGTTTTTTAATGGCTAGTTTTATCATGAAATATTTTAAAGAATAGCAAGTGACAGGTCTCTGTTTGTTTTCCGTTTGACATGTACCTAATGCCCCCACCCCTGTTTTCTGCAGTGAAAGCTGATGCTCTGCTATGAATCTGGTAACTTTCAGGTTACTGGTGGGGAAAGGGACTTGGGGTTTTGGAAATTTCATTTGAAAACTTTAGTTACACTTATTTTATAAAAAAATAGTTTTGTTAATATTTCCATCTACAGAATTTTGAGATTTTTTTTTTAGCGGGGGAAAGAGGAAATAGTTTCTTATTCATTTTTGTTGGATCTTGTGCATTAAGACATGTTTGATCTCTTGAGTATCAGTTCTGTGGTTGATTTTTACATTTCTACCTCTCTCCTTTAAATGAAAACATTCCTGTTACTTGGAAAATTTTCCTTTGTCTCTGCTATTTATTCAAAGTTCAATTTAAGCTCTGCTTTTTCCTCAAATTGTACTCAGTCTTCTGCTGTTAGTCTATAAAAGATCATTCTTGTTCCTCACTGAAAGTATGTTTAAATACCCCCCTTTTTGTCCTAGACCAGTGGTTTAGGGGCATTTTAGAAATTTTGGGAAGTATTTTTGTCCTCTTCTTGAGTTGATCCTGAATATCTGTTTTAATATCTATTCAGGTTACTTATATTTGTTCTTTATATTATAGTTATGCTGTTTTACTAGTGAATTATGTAATTCACATTATCTGTGAATTCATTTCAGAATAGTATAAAGAGTATTAGAAAACATAATAAGGGGACAGTGGGCCTTACGGGTTTGTGCCCTACAGTATAGGCCACAGGCAGGACCACTCTGAGGCCGTGTACTCCCTCACATTACAGAGCCCACTGTGAACCCGCACCCCGTGGGGACAGTTGTGCACCGCTCCTCCGGAAGCCACGCCTCTTAATCTCCTATGCAACTCTGTTATATTCGGGGAAGGCAAAATATTCATTTAATTTAATTTATTTATTTTTGAGGAGGAGAAAGGTGAGAAGCACATTCATGATTCTGATGAAGAGAACAGTGGAGTCCTTTTGTCTCATTTAGTATTTTAAGTGTGTGCAGAAAAACTGTTTCTACTCAGCATCAGGCTGCCTGCCCCTGTGAGCTTTTTTGTTTTTTGATTGGTAATATTCATCCCACTGGTTTTATGATTCCAAAGTTTTAATTGTCATTCATTCTGCTGCATTTACCTGACTTTGGCTTTTGTCTCACCTTTCTATATTTCCAAAATGGGACCTTACTATGTTAGTTTTAAAGTATATTTTTGATGACCAAAACCCACAATGCTGTCCCACTGAACCTACTTTTTATTACTCAAAGCAGAGAAACATCAGGGAAGGGTACACTGCATTCATTTTAAATCAAGTTTTGGGAGATACAATCCCCACACTAATTGACACACTGGTGGGCATTTTGAGCAATGACATTAAGAGGTGATTGACTAGGTCCTACACATGAAGTTGTCAGGAGACATTGTCATGGTGGATTGCCCGGTAGATTCAAACAAGGGTCTACCCTGCCGCCATCACTTTGCCATGTTGGGCAACCTAGAACATTTCTTGTGTCTTTATGTACAACTCTAAACTGGAATGAAAAAAAATCAGTGACCACCAGGTGATGTGAATGAAGTGAGCACAGGGAAAGAGTTAGGAATACTGCCTGGCACAAAATGAACCCACAATATATTTCCTTTTTTTCCTCAAAGCTCCATGATGTTAAGTATCTTCTTAAAGCTTTATCTAATGCAATTAAAGATTTTCAAAAAGACCAGAGGGGAGGGAATTCCAGGGGAAAAGGAGAAGGGTTTGCAGGAACAAGGATAAAGGACACATGGACAAAAACAAGGGGTGGGGGAACGACTGGAGGGAGGTGGGGGGGGGGCCGGGATGGGAGTAAAAGGCAGAAAACTACTTGAACAACAATTAAAAAAATTTAAGAATTTTCAGACTTTCACAGGTGAAGACACTTGCCCAAAGCCACAAAACTAGTAATCCTTGTACAGTCCAGATACCTTGAGTATCAAGTCACTCTTTTCCACAACGCTTTCATGATTGAAGCATGCAGAGAAGCTGAGTCACTGTTTTCATGGTATATGGAAGCTACTAGCATGTAGCATTGATCCTTTTCAAATTAAATCTTAGCTTTGGGAGAGAACTGATGTTTTAAAAAAAGATTTTAGAAAGGGGGTGGGGAGAAGAGGGAGAGAAACACTGATGGGTTTGGTTGCCTCTCGCCCCCAACCAGGGACCTGACCCCCAACTCACGGATGTGCCTGTTGCCTAGACTTGGAAAGAACCCGCCACCTTTCGGGTTGCAGGACAACGCCCAACCCACTGAGCCACACCAGGGCGAGAATTGATTTTTAGTCCATAGCAACTCTTGAAACATCCTAAGATGAAGCTGCTCTTTCACACCCGTTTTACTGTAAATGCTAAAGGCTGGGAACACCAAGTCCAGAAAAATCCACAGCGTTTAGGAAACCTGTAGACAGGCAAGTAGCTCTAGATCAAGGTGAAGTGGAAGCAGCTCAAACTCTAAGCTTGCAGTGGTAGGGCTGGATCCAGAGCGGTCTGTGGTTGCTACGGCAACACAGGCAGCGTCACCTGTAGCTAAGTCGCTCGGCACGTGGCAGCACGGCTCTTCCTGATTGGCTGTGGCGCCCCTGCGGGGGAAGAAGGAGTGTTGGCATTGGCTCAGCCAGCGCCGGTTGGTGGCCTAGAGGAGGATTTGATTGAAAAACCAACGGTGCAGCTGGTAGTGGTGCCCCCGAAGTTGAGGGCCCAGGTGTGGGCTGGGGGTAGGGCAGGACGGGTCCTCCTATCCGGAGCAGCGGGTGACAGCCACTGAGACGATGAGAAGCACGCTTTAGAAATTGGCCTGCAGGAGGGACACTCCCTCCAGCGCGGTGAGTGCGGCAGGAGCGGGCGTTCCCCTGGGCCAGCGCGCGGTTTGAAGCAGGGTCTCCGGGGAGGTGCCCGCAGGTCCTTGTGGAGCATCCCGAAGCCTTGGGAGTCAGCTTCACTCGACAGGGGTCAGGGGCTGATGGTGCCGGCTGTTGTGGGTAGGTGAGTCTCTGTGAACCGTTCTCATAGCAGATGGGTTGGTGATGGGAGGATGGATGGGAAAATGCCATCAACGATGTCTGTTCGATGAAGTAATTATTCTGGTTACATGGAACCTGAGTGTGTCTCTTCCAATCTGCCCCCACGTCTCTGGAGAATCAGTCATAAATCCTTACGGGCGTCGCGTTTCTGTGTTCCCCTGATAGGATGCTGACTGGCTTTTCTGTTCCACGTGGGTGAGCCTGTCCACCTCCAAGCCCAGTATGTTTCACTAAGCGCAAGACTCCCAAATCCAACTGCCAGTTAAGTCTACACATGTGTGACCCTAAACTCCATCTCTTGCCACTCCACCAGACAGCCTCATTCTTAGGTTCCCTGTCTTGGGCACCACCCATTGTTACCAAAACCACATTCTGTACAACTTCTTTGACACTATACCACCTCCTCTGCATTTCCAGTGATTGCCAAGGCTATACCTTCTTAATAGCTGTCAAATCAGTTCTTAGATCACCATCTCCATTCTTACTATATTGCAATTTCCACCAATCCCCTGCTTAAGTCAAACAACCATCCAGCTTCCCTGATTCCATCTGGTCCTGTCTAATCCATTTCCCCCACTATTTTAGATGGACCTTTCTAAAAATCATATAAGGGCATTTCACTTCCTGAAAAGATTCAAATCCAGACCCTTTAGTGGGATTTAGTTCCATATCATTGTTCCCAGAACATGGCACATGCTCTCCCGTGTGCCGTAATTTCACCTGTAGCTCACAGTGCCTGCAATGGACTCCACTTTTTGCACCATCCACAGCCCTGGTCTCACTCCCCAATCATTCTCTGTGTGTTGCCTGATGGCTTTTCTGCTCCCTGTGCTGGATTCTGTCTGTGAGGGCAGAGGCCATGTCTGTTTTACCCACCGCTTGTTGTGTCTGTCACGGTACCATGCACATAGCAGGGGGTTCAAGAAACACTGCTTAAATACATGGATCTCTAGAATGAGACAGTACATTTTACACGGCATCCTTATTAGTTCCAGAAAAGTCAGAAGTAACTTTTGGCCTATAAAGCTTTTGCTTATTAAAAGCTAAATGTTGAGTTTACAGCTTTTACTCAGATTTTGAGACCCTTAGTAGTTGGAAACGATTTCAGTTCATATTTCCTACCATAGTCATTAGGGTGATAGCTGTTAGTACATGGCAGAGGTTTAAAATGGAGAACAGAGAGAGAGTACATCGCAGTTTTGAAGGTAAGCTTAAAGTCAACATTGGTTTGAATCCTGGCTCTAGATTTTAGCTCCGTGGCCCACAGCAAAGTAGTCTTTAATCATCTTTTTTATCTGTACAATGGGCTAGTATTAACATCTACCTCACAGGACTGTTTTGAAGGCTAAATGTGCATACTCCATATCAAGTGCACAGCGCCTTATTCGTAGTTTATCTTAACATGTTTAAAAGTAGAAACATTCACATGGATGTTGGTAGCAGCTTTCTTCCCAATTGCCAACACCTGCAAACTACCAAGATGCCCT